AAGCTATGATTGGTCATATTTATATGGAAGCATCCTCATGTGGTGTGGGTTCAAGTTTGTTCAAATCATGACCATCAGGGGGTAGGGTTTTGCCACAATGGACAACAATTAAAGTTTAACATAGGTGAATAAAGGAAAAAATCTTCAAAAATCTTCTTCTCAAGAACAGCAAAGCCATGATTGGTCAAATTTATATAGAAGCATCTGCAGGTGGTGTAGATTCAAATTTGTTCCAATTATGACCCCTGGGGGTAGGGTGGGGCCACAATGGATAATCAAAGTTTTTATGGAGTATATAGGAAAAATCTTCAAAAATCTTCTTCTCAAGAACAGCAAAGCTATGATTTGTCATATTTATTTGGAAGCATCCTGAGGTGGTATAGATTCGAATTTATTCAAGTCCTGACCCCCAGGGGTAGGGTGGGGCCACAAAGGACGATCAAAGTTTTACATAGGAAAAATCTTCTTCTCAAGAACAGCAAAGCTATGATTGGTCATATTTATATTGGAAGCATCCTCAGGTGGTGTAGATTCAAGTTTGTTCAAATCATGACCCCCAGGGTAAGGGTGGGGCCACAATCTATGATCAAAGTTTTACATAGAGATACATGTATATTAGAAAAATCTTTAAAAATCTTCTTCTCAGGAACAGCTAAGCCCTGATTGATCATATTTATATGGAAGCATCCTCAGGTAGTGTAGATTCAAGTTTGTTCAAATCATGACCCCCGGGGGTAGGTTGGGGCCACAATGAAGGTTCAAAGTTTTTTATAGGAATATATAAGAAAAACCTTTAAAAATCTCAAGAACAGCAAAGCCATGGTTTGTAATATTTATATGGAAGCATCCTCAGATAGTGTAGATTCAAATTTGTTCAAACATGACCTCCAGAGGTAGGGTGGGGCCACAGTGAAAGTTCAAACTTATAGAGAAAAAAGTCACAGTTAGTCAAAAAATTATGTAAGCAGTGTAGATTTAATTTTGTTCAAGTCATACCCCCCCCCTCCCTTTTAGGGGTAGGTTGGGACCATTTATGCATTTAAGCTTTTCAATACTAAACTGATTTTTCCTTTTTTCCTGGCCACAGTGCTCAGGTGAGCGATGTGGCCCCTCGGCCTCTTGTGTGAAATGCAACTGCTCTGCACATTGTGACGTGATTCACAAATGACATTATAATAGCCTTTATGAATAGCCTTATTGTAGAAACATGATTTTAATTCGTACTAGTTTACTTCACATTAGCTGTTGTGAGAACGCAATTTAATTCGCATTAGTTTAATTCGCATTATTTTACTTCGCATTAATTTACTGCAAATTAAACTCTCAGTGTGAACAGGGCTTTAGTTAAGCCATAACTACTACTCGTGACCTTGGGGAAAACTTTGTTATGAGAAATAACAAAGTGGCAAAAATCTTTCCAAAATCAAAGAGACAGCAGGGCCAATGTTACTCAGGTGAGTATTGTGGTCCATGGGCATCTTGTCAAGATCTGTATTATCAACAACAAACAAAAATAAACAATACTAGGATTCTAAAACTCTTAGTAATTTAAACATTAAAAATACAGTTTTAGAAAATGTGGCGTAGATTTGACATGTTTGATTCATCAATTTTAGCAATGAACTTGAGAACAGTTTCACACTTACAAATTGAGTCTGATAAAGACAACAGTTGAGTGCTCACTAAGATACAGAAAAAAACTTGTAATACTGGGATCAGGGAAGCACATTTACTGGTACCCCCCCCCCCCCCCCCATGAAACTAAAATCTCCATAAAATTGCCATTCTGACGTGATGTGTACCATGAATTGTAACACTGTACTGTTATCTTAATTTGTTTGTTTCATTACTTTTGACAGCATCTACAGGATGTGATGTACAGAGAAGAGAAAAGTTATCATATAACAGGTTTATATAGACTACCTTTTCATAATTTGTGAAAGTTACTAATAATTAAAATATGTGTTAAATAAATCATGTAATTATATACTTGTAAGTTTAGAAGTTCTTAAGAATACTTGGCATTTTTCATGAAACAGTTCATGTCCTTGCATATTTCAAAAAACTTGCCATGCAATAACATTATGAGCTGACCTGAGCTGAAAGCTCAAGTGAGTTTTTCTGATCACATTTTGTCTTTTGTACACCTGTTAACTTTGTTAACTTTCACATTTTAGACTTCTTCTCGAGAACCACTTGGCCAATTTCGACCAAACTTGCCAGAAAGCATCCGTGGGTGAAGGGGATTCAAATTTGTTCAAATAAAGGGCCACACCCTCTTTCAAGGGGAGATAATTAAGAATTAGTGAAAATTTGGTCATCTTTCAAAAATCTTCTTCTCAAGTACCATTGGGCTAGAAAAGTTGAAACTTATCTGAAGCCTTCATTGAAAAGTGTAGATTCAAATTTGTTCAAATCATGACCCCTGGGGGTAGGGTAGGGCCACAATAGGGGATCAAAGCTTTACATAGGCATACATGTATATAGAAAAAAACCATTAATTTGTAAAAAAGATTTCTTCTCAAGAACACCAAAACCATGATTAGTCATATTAATGTGGAAGCATCCTTAGGTAGTGTAGATTCATGTTTGTATAAATGATGACCCCAAGGGCTAGGGTAGGGCCACAATGGGGGATAAAAATTTTATGTAGGAATATATAGGAAATATCTTTTAAAATCTTCTCAAGAACAACAAAGCCACATTTCGTCATATTGATATTGATATGGAAGTATCCTCAGATAGTGTAGATTCAACTTTGTTCAAATCATGACCCCCAGGGTAGGTTGGGTTCCCATTTGTGATCAAACTTTTATCAAGGAATATATAGGAAAAATCTATAAAAAAAGTTCTCAAAAACAAAGAATATGTGATTAGTCATATTGATATGAAAGCATCTTCTGGGAGTGTAGATTCAATTTTTTTTTAAATCATGATCCCTGGGGGTAGGTTGGGGCCACAATGGGGGATTAAAGCTTTACATAGGAATATATAAGAATAAAACCTTTAAAAATCTTCATCTCAAAAACACCAAAGCCATGATTAGTCATATTGATATGGAAGCATCCCCAAGATTGTAGATTCAAGTTTGTACAAGCCATTACCTCCAGTAGTAGGATGGGGCCACAATGGGGGATTAAAGTTTTACAAAGGAACATATATAGAAAAAAATCTTTAAAAATCCTCTTCTCAAGAATAACAAAGCCATGACTAGTCATACTGATATGGAAGCAACCTCAGGTAGTGTAAGATTCAATTTTGTTCAAATCATGAACCCCCCCCCCCCCCCCCCCGGGTAATGTGGCACACATCTTTAAAATATGTTCTCAAGAATAGCAAAGCCATTATTAGTCATATGATTATGGAAACATCCTCAGATAGTTTACATTCAGTTTCATTCAAAACATGACACATGGGGGTAGGGTGGGACTAGAACAGGCGATTATAGTTTTACGTGTGGATATATAGAAGAAGAAATCTGCTGATGAAGAACGACAGGGCCATATTGACTCAGGTGAGCGTTGTGGCCCATGGGCCTCTTGTTTGTACCTTACACCTATAATGTTGCTAGAAGCTCTACAGAACTAGTTACTTAATACAGAGTTTATTTTGACAGATTTCCTGGGATGTGCTGTATAACTGTATAAATGGTGGAAAAAATGAAGAAATAGCTATTTTACAGGTTTCTTAATTTCCTATTGATTAATGAACATACAGTCAAACCTTGTTATCTTGAAGTCAATGGGACCAAAGAAAAATTTCAAGATAGCCAAGGATTCCAGATATTGAAAGTAAAATTCACAGACTTTGACATATCCATGGTATTCAGGATTTCAAAGTTCAACTGTATTGTATTTTACTGTGAAAATGTAATATATGTAAAAAGAGTTTGCATTGTTAAAGAATTTTCAAAACTCAGGTCATGAAAGAAGTTTGTTAGCATCAATACACTTGTACATATATCAAAATATTCCATGGCCTTCAAAAGCATAATTTGTACGTGTACGTGTGTTAGTTATAGTGCACACTTTTTTGTTATTAATTGATCTGAATTTATTTTGACAGATTCATCAGGAGTTAAGTTGTCAACAGAATGAAGAAATCATCTCCAACCAGGTTTTCTTATCTCCCTCACACACAATTGTTTATAAACTATAAGTAAATAGATGCAATTCATTTGTAAATGCACATTTGCAGGAATTAATTTACATGGTTGTAAACAATGGCTAAAAACAACCAACAAAAAAAGTATCATTTGAATTTTGCAATTGCAAAATGAAGATTTTCTCATACTTATAAATAAAATAAGATTAAGAAATATATATGTTTTTGTAAGTATGGTAAATAATTATATTCTTTTCTTCACTCAGGACACAGGATCAAGATGAATCAAAACTGTACAGTTGTTACCAGATACAAGAAATCAGTGCGGTATACATTTCTCCATTGTTTTATATTACTGTGTCACAACACACTGTAGATCATACCTATCTATAAAGTGTGGTACATCATCACAAAAATCTACATTTAATATTGTTAAATTTTGTAACTTATGAATTATATTAAATCTTTCTAACAAAGCAATTTAAGGTTTATCATGACTATTCTTTTGTAAATTGTAAAGTTATCACACTGGACTAGAAATACAATACTATACAATGTAATATTTCAAATGAATTTATTATGATCAATAATAACTTTTAAAGTCTTACAGTATTTTACCATATAAATATGTTTTAATTTGTAAATATTGATTTTTAAACAGACTTCATTGTGAACACTTGGACCCTGCTGCTATTGATAGAAACACTGAAAGGATTTTCAGTACCCAGTGTAGAGGTATTTATGTTTATCCGTGTCTTAATTCTGTACTATTTGCTATGTCCTTAAAAACAAAACATTTGTACATGATAACATTATAAAGAGAGAGATATAGTTAAAGCACAATGTTGTAATTTACAGAGAGATCTCCCTGACTGAGGAAATCAACACGGGATTCTGTTATAAAACCACAGGATAAAGATGAAATAAATGTCTGCTGTCAATGATGTATAGATTAGTGTTACAGAAATCTGTCACAGTGACAGGTGTTAGTCGTGTATGTCACATTACCCGTGTATCATCAGACCGGGTCTGGATCAGTGATGGTGACAATCTCATCTTGACAAACACAGCAGGTGATAAACTACATCATCTGACAGATATAGATAGTTATAGTGGAGTACACACTGTGAACTGTGACGGTGATTTAATTTATATAGACAGACAAGGTAACATCAACAAACTGTCTACAGAGAACACAGTAAAGACTCCATTAATAAAGTACAACACAGCAACATGGGAACCACTGTGTGTCTACAGCTCCCCCTCCACTGGAGACCTGCTGGTCGGGATGTGTTATAGATATACAGCCAAGTTAGTGCGGTATAACTCCACAGGAGAACACATCCAGACCATACAGTACGACAACAACACAGGTCAGGAACTGTATGATTATCCTATCTACATCACAGAGAACCGCAATGGAGATGTTATTGTGTCTGACTGGTACTGTGGTGTAGTGGTGACAGATCGTGGTGGAAGTCATCACTTCTCCTACACAGGACCTCCATCAGGATCAGGACTAGATCCACATGGAATCTGTACTGACGCGCTGTCACACATCCTGGTGTGTGATCTTAACACCAACTCAGTACAGATGTTAGACAGGGACGGTCACTTCCTGTCACAGATACAGACATCATCACACGGGATAGACGAACCACGGAGCCTGAGTTATGATGATACCACACACCTACTGTGGGTAGGGTCAGTCACCAACAACACAGTCAACATATACAGAGTGGTAGATACAGACTCTCTGACTGGTAAGTAACATTGTAGTTTGTTAAGTATGTTTAATTAGTTTAATCGTTTTACAATATTGTGTGTATATAATATGATAAAGACAATTTAATATTTATTGGGGAATTCATTACTGAGTAATTATAGTGATTGTTTTAAGTTTAATAACAAAACATGTTTAGTTTGATTACAACTTGTTGCATTCAGGAACAAGAAATACTTCTAAAATGAAGTTAATTATAAAAGTATTTTAACTATATATTGTTTACATAATATTATTATTAATTAGTGTTCTTATAATGTGTACTTGGTTTAGGAACATGAAGTTTTTAACTTTTTTGTCTTTGACAAACTTCTGATTTGTTGAGGATCAGATTTTACATATTCTATTGTCATGATTGTACATCTCATTTCTCTGACTGGCTAATGATATTTTGAATAACTCTTATTGATTTTCTCTTCTGTTTGGGTTGACATTATAATTGTGGGTTAAACTTTATACATGTAGTATATGCTGCTAAAGTAAGGAAATGGAAGGGGATAGAATGTTGTGGTTTAAAGTTTGTTTAACTGTTTATAGATCAATACAAACATGACAAATGTTCAGAAATGGAGGGGCATACAACTGTTAATTGGGTGTGGTATATGTAAGATTGGGGGGTGTTGGAGATTACGGGTTTGGAGGGGGACATTTTAGTTCTTAACAGTAGTTCTTTTAATACTCAGTTAAAGCAAAATTAATTCAATCTCGACAGTATTTCAATACAGAATATTTTTAAACAGGAGACATATCATTTTGATATCAACACCAATGATATTCAGACAGTGTTGTGTATTTCTGTAGCAGGTGTTCAGTAAATCTACACTGTGTACTGAGCTGACATTGTATGTATATTACATATGATGTTCACCAACTTGAGCCGTTATATCACTTTGCACACAAGTAGACTACACTGAGATACATGATTTTATATTATTTTTTTTACAGTGTACTTTGATGAATGGTCTTGCCATGGTTTCTAAAAATATAAATATATAGTATCATTTTCGCAGAATTTTTTTCGTGTGTTTGAATCAAATACTTAAGGACATACGCAACGTACCTTACCTACTGATAATTTTTCAAGATATTCTTAATTTAAGATTATAGTGCCATCAGATGTTCGTCGACAAAAAATCAGCATACATTACCGGGGGTTTTGAAAAGATATCAATTGATGAAAATTTTTGTATAATTCAAAGAAAAATACACAAAAATTACTAAACACATATTCTAGATGTTTTGATTATCCAAACTTGTTTTAGAAGAAGTGTACAACAGCATATATAGACATACAAATGTAGCACACAATTCCTTTAAGTATTGGAACTCTTCAACTCCAGGGAAAAAGACAATAAAGTTCAAACTACGTTGCGTATGTCCTTAATCAGTACATTGCAGCAGATACCTAAATCTTAATTAAATGGTGAAAAAGGAAGGAATATGACAATGTTCTTGACAAGTGTACAGTAGTCAAATCAAAATGTTAGAATTATCAGTAAGGCCAAAAAAATAATTAATAGTTTCTCAGGCCAAAAATTTCATAATTCAATGTGGCAGGCAGATTTTACCTTTTTTCATGTCAGTCATTCAACAAAATGATGATATCAACTGATTCTTACATTTTTTTGTTCTCTTACATTAATTATAACATGTGTTCAATTTTAAATGTTATTCCAAACATTTTTTTAAAAGTTAATTCATAAAATACTATATTAACAAGAAATATAATATATTGTTTATCTAATAAAAACATCTATCTATTAGCATTATGAAAAGGGGAATAACTCAATTTTCTTTGTCAACTTGGAAAAATAGAAAATTCAGTTATTTCCCTTTTCAATATATATATATATATATATATATATATATATATATATATATATATATATATATATATATATATATATATATATATATATGTCAATAAAATTTATCAATACGGCAGTTTTTGACCTGATGTGGCGGTGCCTGAGAAACTATTGATTAATTTTTTTGGCCTAATGTGGGGAAACATTAAGACACTATGATAATGATGAAATGCTAAAGAGATATCTTTATGTATATTGTGCATTTTGTTTTTCTTGTTAAAAGGTCTCCCTCTGGAGGATTTCAAATGCAAGAAACATCCAAGTTGTCCATTAGCCCAGTTCTGCATACAGTGTGAGGTTACCTTGTGTCAGATATGCATCAAGACCTCTGATGATCATAAAAAACATGATGTTCAAGATGTTGAGAAATTGTTGCATGAAATTCACAAGAGAAAAGGTTTGTAATGATGCAGAATGTGTTTATTTGAACATGACCTTTAACAAGTTCTAAAAAAAAAAAATTATTGTGCCCTTCATTTTTAGCTCACCTGAGCTGAAAGCTCAAGTGAGCTTTTCTAATCACCTATTTTCCGTCTTTCTTACCTCCATCCGTCCGTAAACTTTTCACATTTTCAACTTCTTCTCAAGAACCACTTGGCCAATTTTAACCAAAATTGGTACAAAGCACCCTTGGACCAGATTAGTTGGACTTACTTAACCCAATCTTTGTTAGAACATTTCCTACAACCCCCCGCTTACCACCAAAAAAAATTCAAAGTCCCAATTTCCTAGCTATATAAAACCCAGTTTCCATGCCATTCCCATGCCACCGCCATCCGCCAACATATTTTGAGTACAAATCTGTCTATTACCATTATTATCACCGCCAATTAGAATACTTTTTTTTCAAAAATTGGATTGTTAGGTCTGCGTTATAAAATAAAGTTTAATGAGAAGCATATATTTACCCTCTAGAAAATTATTAAACATGTTCAAAACTCATTTATATTAATCATTAAATGATCATTATATTGTTAAGTTATATTTTTTTTATCTGACTCTACAACAGTCTGCAGTATAAATCAAATATGTAGAAAAATAAAACATGTTTATATAGCTAAGAATAATGCATGCAAAAATAATCAGACAAATTACGTTTTATGTATTAAACTGAAATTAGAAATAAACTACACAATGAAGTATCAATTTAACAGGTGACATAGAACATATCTAATCCCTGTCAGTTTCCTACCTTAGCTAAAAATTAATGAGATAATCAACTGAAGCCATCTTGTGTGTATGTACATGAACCTTGTGATTCCCAAATCATCTGTGCTGTCAGAGAGAAATATTTTCTTGTCTTTCGGTTGTTAGGGCCCCACGCTGTGGGCTCTACAGTAATCACTCTGTCTGGCTGTCTGATTTCATTTGTCTGGAGCATGTTTTCTCTCCCCTTGGCCCAGATGAGTTCAAACTTCACCCATAGAGTGCTTATGGGTAGAGGGTATGGAGTGACCCTCAGCCAATTTTCTTGAAGAAAGGTCAAGGTGGAAAAATCTATTTTTGTTAAATCCTGGAGTTTTCCCATTCCTTGGCCCAGCTGGGCACATATTTTACCCTTAGAGTGTCTATTGAAAGAGGGTGTGAAGTTACCGTAAAGCGGGTTTTTTTAGCGGGTGTAAAATTTGGCGTTTCGCTTGCTCAAAGGTATGCCAATAATTTTGGCAGAACTTTTTTTTGGCAGACACAGTTTCATGACTTTGCAAAAGAAAGGAAATTCACATTTTACATGAATTTCAGTACGTTTAATACAAGTTTGAATACAAACTCTTATACAATTATACTTAATTAAGCAAGAGTTTGAATAAAATTCAAAACCAAATGAAATATAACGTTTAACAACAGGCTGATCAAAGTTATTTTTCTTGTATTCAGTAATTTTAAGCAAGGGTGCAAATTTAGCGATTAAAATTTTAGCTGGCTACTACAAATCTGATAAAATAAGCCAAAGCTAGCACCCCGCTAAAAAATCCCATTATACAGTACCTTGAACCAATTTTCAGATGTAAGGTCAAGGTCCAAAATGTTTTATATCCTTGTCTTCAGCATTTGCCTAGTTGGACTCATACTTCACCCATTTAGCACAGGGCCTGGCCACAACAGGGTATCAAATTTATACATAGGAATATATAGGAGAGATCTTACAAATTTTCTTCCCGAGAACAGCAAGGTCATAATTATACCCCCCCCCCCCCACCCCCCCCACCCCCCGCAAACGAAGTTTGGGGGGTATATAGGAATCACCTTGTCCATCTGTCCGTCCATCTGGCTGTCTGTCTGTGCAAATGTGTCGGGTCCATATCTTTTTATGGAGGAACATTAGAATCTACTACTTCACACACAGATTGTTCATGTCCTGAGGGTGTATGATGACCTTGACCCAAGGTCATTTGGGCAAGATCAAGGTCACAAAAAGAAAAAGTTAATTATTCGTGTCCGGTCCATATCTTTTTTATTGATAAACTTGGTGAGTTCCCATTATACACAAAGTTTGCTGCTGAACTGAGGGTGTGTCATGACCTTGACCCAAAGTCATTTGGGCAAGTTGAAGGTCACTGACAGAAAAAATTCATAATTCGTGTCGGGTCCGCATCTTTCTTATGGAGAATAATGTTGGTATGTTAGGAGTTTCCACTTCACCCAAAGATTGCTTATGACCTGAGGGTCATATGATCTTGACCTATAGTCACTGTAGAAAAATTGATAAATAATGCATCCATACTTTCCAATAGAGAAATACTTGAAAAATTGTTTATTTTTTTTAATGTAATAAAACGCCTGGGCGAAGAGAAAATTTGGACTTACACATTGATCCACACGATTTTTTTTTCACAGCAACTTTTCGACCCACAATGCATCTCTTGTTTAAGCTATGTTCTCATGAGAATAACAACAAAAGTTCAATAAAAAATAAACTCGCCTTGATTTAATGGATATATGGCAGATAAGTAGTAAATAAAACATTCTTCTTTAAAGTCAGCACTGTTAAGGCTTCGGTTTGGTAATGCAACTTAAATACAACATCATGTGACATCAGAGTCTAGACGCACCAAATATCACGTGCAGTTTGACAAACCCGATCTAAATTAAAACTGATGAGTATTATCTGCGCTCGCCCTAATGGTCGCACCGTCAACCTATTAATCATATGGGAGGCGGGGGGTATCGCTTTGTGAGCTCAGTGCTCATAGTACCTCTAGCTAGTTATATTAACAAAGAAGCATCCTTGGGTAGTGTAGATTCAAATTTGTTCAAATCCTGGTAGGGCAGCCCTTACAGATATTTCCGATAAGTGACTTATAAGTGATTTATTCTTTTACTTATCAGGGGTGTGCAATTACAAAAATTAGTTACTAGCCCGTCGGGCTAGTGGCAGTAACAAAGTTACTAGCCCGAGGTTGCCAGTCACTAGCCCATTAACTACCGAAAACAATACATGTATAAGTATAACAAAAAGGTTAAAAAAAAACCATTTAAGTTGAAATAAATAAAACAAATAATGGTTTGCGCTTTGTTATTGTCAGGTACTTCTCCCTATTTTTATCGACTATAATGTCACTGAAATGACTGGCGATAGCAACACACAAAACATATAAGTTAAAACGAATCAAAGATTATGATTTTACAACAAAGTTAATTCGTACATCAATTCAGTCGACGTAAATATAGTTATTCTTTCATTTTAGATTTACTAGCCCGATGGGCTAACGCAGTATAGATTTATGATAGCCCGACCTCTAAAATTGGTGGCCCCGGGCGTCGGGCAATGGTAATTGCACACCCCTGCTTATAAGTTGTTTATTCTGGACTTATATTTCACTGATTCATTTAACTTATAAGTGACTAATAAGTGACTCATTAGGATTTTATATGCAAATGAGGTGCTTGACTTATAATTGACTTATAAGCCAAGTATTAGCCACTTTTGCTTTATGCAAGTATGGTCACTTATAAGTGACTTATAAGTCAAGTATTAGCCCTTCATGCTTTATCAAGTATGAGTCATTTATAAGTCAACTATAAGTGAAGTACAAGTGAAGATCTTAATTTAGAACAGAACTTCCAATCATGCAGGGGTTGCATGATGTTCAGATTTTTTTTTTTTTCCATATACCTATGTATCTGCACTTTAGATGAAATAATCAAGTTAACATTTTATGAACAAAAATTCCTCTCATATGACATTCTGTGATGATGGAAATTTTATATATTATTTCAGTTCACGAACAAAATGTTGGACAAAAAGTCATCAAGATTTAATGACCTTCAGGCTTTTTCAAATTGATGAAATCTGAAAGCAATTGAGTCAGTTGATTCAAAATTTCAGGCAAAGGAAGTGAAAATAAAAAGATGATGTGAATAGAACCTACTTGTTGTACCTGATGTGAAGGCATACTCAAAATAGATTTGAAATCTCCAACAACATCCTTTCACAGACACTAACTTAGTTTCAAATTCTTCCTGTTTATCTCTGCAGAGACAAAGTTTCTGATTTGTTAGCTTTGAATACCCACAATGCAACTCAAGAGAAGTCTAGTATAATGTAAAAATTCTAAGTCCACACTTATTCTGGCTAATACCAGACTAATCTTCATTTATAAGTGAAGTATGTGAAATATTCACTGATATGTGGCTAATCTTCACTTATACATGTAAGTGAAGTATTAATGAAACCTCTTCCTCCCTTATAATTACTTCGACCAATAGTACACTTATAAGTAAATTTCAAAACTTATAAGTGGATTATAAAACACTTATAAGTTTCTATTGTTTTTTTCTGTAAAGGAGGGCAACAATGGAAGATCACATGTTTAATAGAAATATATAGAAAAAGATATTTAAAAGTCTGCTAAAACCCTGATTAGTCAAAGAAATATGGAAACATCCTCAGTTAGTGTAGATGCAAGTCTGTTCAAATTCGCCCTTGGGGGGATAGGTTGGGACCCCTTGTATATTTAAACTTTTCAATACTGAACCGATTTCTGCTTTCTCTCTGGCCATAAAGCAAAAGCCAAGGTGAGCGATGTGGCCCATGGACCTCTTGTTTATTTGTAGATGGAGATGCAGTTTTGATGTGCCTTCTTCTCTGCCCTTCATACAAAATAAATCTGGAAGAAGAACACTGGATGAAGAAGTATAATGCTGTTGCTGAAGTTTTCAAATTCAAGAAGATTAAGAAGCTGTCCAATCTTAGCAACTTAAAGAAGTACAAACCAATACTGAAACAGGATAGTGTGAATGTTGAATTTTCCTGTGAATTCTTTAGAGATACCAGCTTTCTTAGATTTGCAAAGGATCAGAAATTTGTGAATATGTATCTGGATTGGGCAGAAAAAGAAAACATTGCCAAGTACTGCAGATCATCAAATTATCTGAGAAGAGAGATTGAGGAGGAAGTTTGCTGTTGGTTATTGCCAAATCAAACGGAACAATTGATAGAAAAACTTGGAGAAGACATGTTCACACATCCAACGATGATGGACCAATCAATGCATGAATTAGTGTATAGAAAGCGTATGTTTTTTAAAAGTTTTTTTTATTGATAGTTTATCCACTATTTTGGTGTAAATGATTTTGAGCTCTCCTTAGCTGAAAGCTTAGGTGATCTTTTGTCAAGTGTCCATCTGTTCATTAGTTTGCTAACTTTTAACATTTTTAGCTTTTCTGAGCCAAAGGCTCAAAGAGCTAATGCTATGGCCATGTGTGCGGTGTGCGTAAAATATGAGCCATAATCAAGAATCTCTTGGCCAATTATTGTCAAGTTTGTCACAGGGTATCCTTGGCCCAAGGGCTCCCATTTATACTCAAACTAGGTCTGTGACCCTTAAACAAGGGGAGATAATTAGGTAAATAAATTCAAAAGTAGTGGTTGCTAAAAAACCTTCTTCTCAAGAACCATTGGGCAGATTATCACCAAACTTACACAAAAGGATAAGGATATGTTGTAGATTAAAATTTGCACGGGGAATCGCCCTGCGGCAAAGAGCGTGGTCTCAAGGTTACTTCAAAGTTGACCAAAAATTACATTTTATTAAATTGTTGATATTTTGCTTACTATAAGGACTAGGAGCATTAAATCTTGTCAGTTAATGCATCTATGGATCTCATATCATGTTGACTCAAAAGTAGGTCACGGTGACATAAAATTTAAGTTTTGCGGCCATTCTTTTTCAAAATGATTTAGAGGCATATTTTGAACAATTTAGGGCCTATGATCATCAAACTTTGTCAGTTGATGCATTGTGGGTCCTCAAAGTATGTCAACTAAAATGTAGGTCACCTTGACCTACTTTTTGAATTTTATGGCTAATCTTTTTCAAAACATTTAAGGTCATTAATTGGAATACTGAGAGGTTTAGAATCATTAAATCTTGTAAGATGATGCATCTTGTGGGATAAAACATATTTATTAAAAAGTAGTTCACAGTGACCTACTTTTTTAACTTTGCAGGTATTCAATTTCAAAGCGTTTTAGAGGCATATTTTTGACATTTTAAGGCCTATGATCATAAAACTTTGTAACTTGATGCATCTTAGGTCCTAAAAAATCGTCAACTGAAAAGTAAGTCACCGTAACCTACTTTTGAAATTTTACGGCTGAATTTAAATATTTTGGGTACTAACTGGCTTAGAATCATCAAATTTTGTCAGTTGATGCATCTTGGGTCCTCAGAGTAAGTCGACTGAAAAGTACGTCACCGTGACCTACGTTTGAAATTTTATGGCTATAAATAGATATTTCGGGTACTAATTGGCTTAGAATCATGAAACTTTATCAGTTGATGCATCTTAGGTTTTCAGAGTAAGTCAACTGAAAAGTAGGTCACCGTGACCTACTTTTGGAATTGGATGGCTATTTCATTACTTATCAGGGCTCTCGTTTCTCTATATTTTGGGCCGTTCAAAGGCCCCATTCCCAACTCAAAAAAGGCACCTTTTTTCCCAATTGAATGTGTTAATTTTCCCAATCTGTCACTTCCTCAAATATCAAAGAACATTTAGTAAGACATATCATGTATATACTATATACATGTACTTACTAAACTTGTAATTCATATTTCTCTGCATAACAAAACAGAAATTTAGTTGAAAACTACCACCAGAAACTCAATATATCATGAATTTAATGTATAATGTCTAGTTCTGATTTTCCCAAAATTACCCAAAAGGTCGCTAATTTTCCCAATTTCTATGGCCCCGGCCCCAGTCCCAAAATGTGGTTTGAGAGCCCTGCTTATTGGCTTAGAATCATCAAACTTTGTCAGTTGATGCATTTTGGGTCCTCAAAGTGTGTCAGCAAAAAAGTAGGTCACCCTGACCTACTTTGGAAGTTGATGGCTTTTTCAGATACCAATTGGTTTAGAATCATCAGAACTTTGTCAGTTGATGCATCTTGAGTCTTCGGAGTTTATCAACCAAAATTAGGTCACGGTGACCTACTTTTGCAATTTCATGGCTTAATTTGAATATTTCAAGTTCTAATTGGCTTGGAATTATCAAACTTTGTCAGTTGATGCATCTTGGGTACCCGTAGTGTATCAACCAAAAAATAGGTCACCATGACCTACTTTAGGAATTTGATGGCTATTTCAATACTTATTGGCTTAGAATCATCAAACTTTGTCAGTTGATGCATCTTGAATCCTCGGAGTGTATCAACCAAAAAGTAGGTCACTGTGTCCTACATTTTCAACTTCATGGCTAAATTTAAATATTTCAGATACTATTTGGCTTGGAATTATCGAACTTTATCAATTGTTGCCATGCTGACCTACTTTTGGAATTTCAAGGCTTTATCCTTATTATATAGGTTACCAAGAGGCTTAAAACAGATGAGATTATAAGTTGTACAATTTTCAGAAGATCGATTCTAGGCCCTTGGGCGTCTTGTTGACTTCTTTTTACCAATTTCAACAAAACTTGCCACATAGCGTCCTTGGGTTGAGAGCCATACCTTCTTTCAAGGGGAGATAATCATGAGACAGGATTTTTTAAAAATATTTTCATTCGTGTCTCGCACTCGTGAAATATCAGAAAATCCTGTCCCACTCGTGAAATGAATTTCATATCTAACTACAAAACATTGAATATCCTTTTTTTCAAGAAAAACAGGGCTCTGATTAATGAAGTTAATATGTCCAAGAATAATCAGGAAGTGCAGGTTTCAATTTGTGAGAAATTGTGTCCCCATAATTTGGGGTACCGTGGGGCCACAATTAGGGAACAAATTTGTACATTAGGATATACAAGAAAAAATCAAAGAATCAAAAAAAAAAAAAAAAAAAAAAAAAGAAATGCAGGAAAATGAATTATCATATTAATAAGCAAGTACCATTAGTTTAGAAACTGCATGTTGCCCCAGGGGTAGGGGGACATAAAAGAGGATTATACATGTAAGTATAACTAAACTTCGGAATCTCGAACACCTATATTTTAAATACCTTGGATATGCTGAAGTCTCTTGAAAGTCTCAACTACTTTTTAGCTCACTTCGATGGAGTCGAGGTGAGCTTATTCTATACCACTGGTGTCAGTATCTTTGTTCAAATTTTAGGAGCAAGTCAATTTCCAAGTAATTATAAGCCCTACCTCAACCAAAGTTGCATGGATGATACATCTAGGGCTTGATACCTCCAGACTTGCTTCGGATGCTAGATCTGACCTACATTTTCTAGATGAGTGACCAGGTTAAAGTTTTTAGAGCAGGTCCATTCCCAAGGAACTATGAGCCATACCTGGCACAAACTTGTAAGGATGGTGCACCATCCAAGGATGGACACTACCCAACCTGCTTCAGATTCTTGATCTGACCTAATTTTCCAGATGAGTTACCAGGGTTAAAGTTTTTTAGCAGGTCTATTCCCAAGGAACTATAAGCACTACATGGATCAAACTTGCATGGATGATGCATCTACAGATGGACACTGCCCAGTCTGGTTTGGATGCTGGATCTAACCTATTTTATCGAGATGAGTGAATATTAACCCTCCTGAACTAAACTAGCATGGATGATATATCTAGGGATGGACACTACCAGACTTGCTTCGGATGCTGGATCTGACTTTCATTTTCTGGATGAGTGAACAGGTTAAAGTTTTTGGAGCAAATGCATTCCAAAGTAACTGCAACTAAGTCCTACTTAATCCAATCTAATTGATGTAAGCATTATGGCTCATAGGTTTTTTTATTTCTTAACTGTATAAAGATTGGTAAATAATTAGACTACATTAAGGTACATAATACGGTTAAAGCTCAACTCGACTACTAAATAGGCATACGCCTATTAGTTTTCTTATCTTCGATATCGGAACTGGGATATACCCTTCATTGTTACAAGTGTTCATTTGTACTTGTTCTACTTTCACAATTTTAAGTTCAAACAGTATCAGTGCTTCAGTCTTATAAAAGATGTTTTCTTGATTATAGTTGGCATACCAGTACAGGTTATAATGAGAGGAGACGAGTCTGTGAGGAATTTCTTGGATAACCTGAAGAAAGGGGAGACGACTATGTACCACGCCTCTGGGATGATCATTGGGTGTGCTGGTAGTGGGAAATCAACCCTACTAGAAAGACTGAAGGGCACCAACCTGAAAGAAATTCTGGAAAATTCAATGTCAACCAGAGGAATTGATGTCCAGGCTGACATATTTGATGTTACAGACAACACAATCAAATGTACGGTTTCTCATTAGATCAGATAAAGTTTTCCAGTGTATCTAAAAGCCTGATTTTATAACATGTTTATATACATGTAGGAAATGGAAATAACCAAAGATCATTTTTTATTCAGTCTGCCACTATCCAGGCTGTGATTTCGTAAAGAAATTACTAGCTAATAGGGCTGGGTATTGGCTAAAGATTTCGTATTGCGATATTTTTAACTGTATTGCTATATGTACTGCAATATTTTCAACAAAAATTTAAATGGTATTTTCTTATTATATTAACTTCCTTTTACATGTAGAATGTACATAACTATGACAAATAATCAATAAAATATATGTTGTTAATTGAATATTACAGTTATGCAACTAAATACACCCATACAAAAGCTTTTGTCTTACTGTTGGCATGATCGCAAACCTTTCTGGCAACTTTTCTTTATATTTTATTATAGATTCCTGAGTCCAAGCATTTTGCCGGTATATCGGTATTACAAAAACATATTGCAATATGATATTTTTTGTCGACATACCGCAATATACTGGAATAGCCGTATTATTGCCCAGCCTTACTAGCTAACTGCTTTTACTATACGTGGAATATAGAAATTGTAAAATTCATGTCTTATATTGTATTTGAAAAAGAAACACTGGAAGACTTAATAGCTCAAAGCTACTTCTGCTTAAAGGACTTATTGCATGTTTCTAAATTATTTGAAATTAAAAGCATATTAAAACGTTCCTTATGACCACAGTTTAAAATTTTGTGTTTTTACTGCAGATAAATCGCGGTAATTAATCAATTATTAACTCAAATGAAAACCCCTGATTTAAAAATCCAAGTTAATTAGATAGCGATCACGTGACCCTGTGACGTCAAAGGCGACAATGGCTGATCAGCTCCCCGTTAATCTTACGAAAATATACGCGATACAACCTGAATTTTCTGCGTTGTGGATGACCAAATCGCTTATTTTATCGATATGAAATTGAATATCCAACCTTATATGTTAGAATTGCAGCAAGAAAAAATCAGAAAAATCTGTTTACATTGTATTTAAATAGCATCGACGATAGCGAGGGAGACGCGGCGAAGACGAAGAAACTCGCCATCAGAATACGATTTGATTTGTCATCTTATCACACGTATTTACTTATTTGATTCACAAATTTAACACTATATAACTTTGTTGTTCTTTATTTTTAACATAATATTAATTTATGCAAGTCTTCATATGTTTTTTTTAAAGGATGGCGATCTTGAAAAATAATTTCCCGATCACGAAACATTGCCGTAATCAAAGCTACAGTTTCTAAATGTTTGGAATAAAAAACGAAAATTTCTCAGAAGCCTTATACCATAGAACTAGTTAATGTTTCTATAGTAATTGAGAAGCACGTTAGGCATTAATTTTTTCAGTATTTTTCGTAATTAAGCTGCATTTGTTGTTGATAACTCCGTAATTAGTGTGCATATTCTCATCTCTCTATCACTGAATTGTCGCCTATGACGTCAGAGCAGTATTCGCCGAAATCCGACTGAAATATGCATATTGCCATATTTGAATTTCAACTCCTAATATCTCTTAAAATATGCTTTCAACAACGTTTATTCTATTCAGTATTTTAATAAACAAGGTTGTAGATGATATTTTTCATAAAATTACGATTTTTGAAAGATCATGCAATAAGTCCTTTAATGCATGTACATGAAAGTGTGAAAGTATTCTAATGTGGCGGTCAGACGGGTTTGATCACCGGTGGTCAGATAGCTCAGTTGGTAGAGCACCTGACTCGAGATTCCGGGGGCCTGGGTTCGAATCCCGGTCTGGTCCGCTGCAATTTTCTCCTTTCCCATTACATTTGGTGCCGTGCCATGCCCTGGAAGTGACAGGTGAGAGGCCTGCCAGGAATGAGCCTGGGTTGGAGTCTTTGGGGGCCAAAGACCTTCAAGGAGGGAGGAATGTGGCGGTCAGATGGGTTCCATCGCCGGTGGCCAGATAGCTCAGTTGGTAGAGCACCTGACTGGAGATTCAGGGGGCCCGGGTACGAATCCCGGTCTGGTCCGCTGCATTTTTCTCCTTTCCCGTTACATAATAAAGGGTCATAAAGTCATGTTTAACCAAAAAATATACGCGATACAACCTGAATTTTCTGCGTTGTGGATGACCAAATCGCTTATTTTATCGATATGAAATTGAATATCCAACCTTATATGTTAGAATTGCAGCAAGAAAAAATCAGAAAAATCTGTTTACATTGTATTTAAATAGCATCGACGATAGCGAGGGAGACGCGGCGAAGACGAAGAAACTCGCCATCAGAATACGATTTGATTTGTCATCTTATCACACGTATTTACTTATTTGATTCACAAATTTAACACTATATAACTTTGTTGTTCTTTATTTTTAACATAATATTAATTTATGCAAGTCTTCATATGTTTTTTTTAAAGGATGGCGATCTTGAAAAATAATTTCCCGATCACGAAACATTGCCGTAATCAAAGCTACAGTTTCTAAATGTTTGGAATAAAAAACGAAAATTTCTCAGAAGCCTTATACCATAGAACTAGTTAATGTTTCTATAGTAATTGAGAAGCACGTTAGGCATTAATTTTTTCAGTATTTTTCGTAATTAAGCTGCATTTGTTGTTGATAACTCCGTAATTAGTGTGCATATTCTCATCTCTCTATCACTGAATTGTCGCCTATGACGTCAGAGCAGTATTCGCCGAAATCCGACTGAAATATGCATATTGCCATATTTGAATTTCAACTCCTAATATCTCTTAAAATATGCTTTCAACAACGTTTATTCTATTCAGTATTTTAATAAACAAGGTTGTAGATGATATTTTTCATAAAATTACGATTTTTGAAAGATCATGCAATAAGTCCTTTAATGCATGTACATGAAAGTGTGAAAGTATTCCAATGTGGCGGTCAGACGGGTTCCATCGCCGGTGGCCAGATAGCTCAGTTGGTAGAGCACCTGACTCGAGATTCCGGGGGCCTGGGTTCGAATCCCGGTCTGGTCCGCTGCAATTTTCTCCTTTCCCATTACATTTGGTGCCGTGCCATGCCCTGGAAGTGACAGGTGAGAGGCCTGCCAGGAATGAGCCTGGGTTGGAGTCTTTTGGGGCCAAAGACCTTCAAGGAGGGAGGAATGTGGCGGTCAGATGGGTTCCATCGCCGGTGGCCAGATAGCTCAGTTGGTAGAGCACCTGACTGGAGATTCAGGGGGCCTGGGTACGAATCCCGGTCTGGTCCGCTGCATTTTTCTCCTTTCCCGTTACATAATAAAGGGTCATAAAGTCATGTTTAACCAAAAAATATACGCGATACAACCTGAATTTTCTGCGTTGTGGATGACCAAATCGCTTATTTTATCGATATGAAATTGAATATCCAACCTTATATGTTAGAATTGCAGCAAGAAAAAATCAGAAAAATCTGTTTACATTGTATTTAAATAGCATCGACGATAGCGAGGGAGACGCGGCGAAGACGAAGAAACTCGCCATCAGAATACGATTTGATTTGTCATCTTATCACACGTATTTACTTATTTGATTCACAAATTTAACACTATATAACTTTGTTGTTCTTTATTTTTAACATAATATTAATTTATGCAAGTCTTCATATGTTTTTTTTAAAGGATGGCGATCTTGAAAAATAATTTCCCGATCACGAAACATTGCCGTAATCAAAGCTACAGTTTCTAAATGTTTGGAATAAAAAACGAAAATTTCTCAGAAGCCTTATACCATAGAACTAGTTAATGTTTCTATAGTAATTGAGAAGCACGTTAGGCATTAATTTTTTCAGTATTTTTCGTAATTAAGCTGCATTTGTTGTTGATAACTCCATAATTAGTGTGCATATTCTCATCTCTCTATCACTGAATTGTCGCCTATGACGTCAGAGCAGTATTCGCCGAAATCCGACTGAAATATGCATATTGCCATATTTGAATTTCAACTCCTAATATCTCTTAAAATATGCTTTCAACAACGTTTATTCTATTCAGTATTTTAATAAACAAGGTTGTAGATGATATTTTTCATAAAATTACGATTTTTGAAAGATCATGCAATAAGTCCTTTAATGCATGTACATGAAAGTGTGAAAGTATTCTAATGTGGCGGTCAGACGGGTTTGATCACCGGTGGTCAGATAGCTCAGTTGGTAGAGCACCTGACTCGAGATTCCGGGGGCCTGGGTTCGAATCCCGGTCTGGTCCGCTGCAATTTTCTCCTTTCCCATTACATTTGGTGCCGTGCCATGCCCTGGAAGTGACAGGTGAGAGGCCTGCCAGGAATGAGCCTGGGTTGGAGTCTTTGGGGGCCAAAGACCTTCAAGGAGGGAGGAATGTGGCGGTCAGATGGGTTCCATCGCCGGTGGCCAGATAGCTCAGTTGGTAGAGCACCTGACTGGAGATTCAGGGGGCCCGGGTACGAATCCCGGTCTGGTCCGCTGCATTTTTCTCCTTTCCCGTTACATAATAAAGGGTCATAAAGTCATGTTTAACCAAAAGACTCATTGAAGAAAGTGATAGAATCAGGGTTCTTCATCATTTCAAATTTAAATGTGGCGGAAGACTATGGCAAAGTGCTAAATTTCTCGGTCATTTCCAAATTGGCAAAGAAACCATTAAACAAATTGAAAAATACACAGCTCCTCTGAATCACTGATTAAATACACAAATGGTATTAATTATCTTAATTTTAGAGACATGGTTACCTTCTCTAAAGTAAAGCCAAGTAATTTAATACTCTAGTTTTAAACATTTCATCATGTTCACTTGCAATTACATGTACCAGCCAAAGTGTAAGAAAACAACTTGTCTCTTTTCATTCATGTGTAAAGTCCAGCTAGATCTAGAAGATAATTGGTTCTACAAGCCAAATAATGGGCCCTAATTAGAATAAATTTATGATTTACATTAGAAACTGAACAGTACATAATTTGATGGTACGATCATTTTGAGATATAGATTTATACATTTGTCTTCCTGATCGATGACGATCTTACTGTGGCACTAATATTTCATTTAGCAGAACTATGGGACTGATTTTTAACTGTGGCGCTATGGAATTTAACTGTGGCGGGGCTGCCATGTTTAAAGGCCCATGGAGAACCCTGAGAATATCCCACTCCCCCCCCCCGGTTTTGTAATTTTGTGATAAAAAACTTTAGATGCCCATTCTTGTCAAAGATTACAAATGGTCTGAATCATGACCCTTTAAATTAAACCAAGGTCATTGAAGCAAATTCATTGTCACTATTGCTAAATTTTGTATAAACTTTAATAACTTTCTAGTTCAAGTATGGTGGTGTTACATGTCAGAGAGAGAGCATGAGTCACTGAGCATTGTGACCTATGGGCCTGACTTGTTCTCTACTCTATGAAATAAACTGGATCAGCTGAGCTAGTGATGTTCAAAATGTATGTTTGGAGTAAAGGAATAAACATGATGGTTTTATTTGAAAACTTAAATATTGGTATTCTTGTTTTGTAGTAAACTCATCAAACCAAAAACAACGCTTTAAAGTTAAAATTGATGAATCAAGCCAACAAAAGAGTTTTCCAGAACAACCTGCAGAATTATCTGGTGACATGAAAAAGTTGGATATTGAAGAGACAAGGGATCAGAAGGATACAACCAGTAAAGCAAGCAATGAAGAATCGGTGAGTGATGAAGAAATGTCACATGAGAACTTGGATACAGAATCTGACTCACTTAAAGGAAATGAAGCTGCCACGTCTGTGGAAAAAGAAAAGGATATAGTTGACAGAGAAAACATTCCTGATAATTCAGAAATATCAGGCATTTTACGAGTTTCCAAAGATGTTTCGGATAATCCTGAGAAAAAAATTACCATGGTAGACTTTGCAGGACAATGTGCATATTATGCCTCACACCAGATTTTTCTGAGTCCACGAGCATTCTTCATTCTGGTGCTCAATATGGAGAAGAAGTTTGATGATAAGGTTGGAGAAGAAGTCTGTAGTCAGGAAGGCTCCATTTACAAGGGATGGACACACAGAGGTTTGTTATTGTTACATGATATTGTATGTTAGTTGTCTAGTATCTAGATTAAAGACAATGAAATATGTAAAAAATATCTGCTACATTTATATGCTCATTTTGAAGAGTGTGTACATGTACGTATAACTAGAGAATTGCAATGATAGCTTGATTAAAATCATCTCGAAATCAAATATTTGTCACTGAATTTGTCGTTTAGAATTGCTATGCAAAACATAAGGAAATAAAAATGTCATTGTTTATTAAGTTATCAGCTTTTGTAAATTGTTTGTACCATGTGACATTTGTGTGTATGTATATATGTATGACATCATACATTTGTTTTCTGGAACAAGAGTGCAGCTATTTCATTTATTAAATGAACAGAAATTTTGATTCTCTCTGATTGGTCTAGACTCCTTTTCCTGAGGTGTACCTCAGAGTGAGTTCAACTCCAAATGAAGTTCCGGGCTTTCCTCTTGACATTTTTTTTTCAAATAATCAAATTGCGTGTTTTAAAGCATGTGATGTTTGAATGTAAACATGGTATACGCTAGTACCGAAGAGACTTTACTCCTTAATAAGTAAATGGTTGAGTATTTATTGTGTTGTTTTCCACTTTTAAATGGTTGTTAAAGTGTTGGAATATAATTATAATGTTTTGTTACATTACAAAGGGGACAAGAATTAGTGTCAAAATGTTGTAAAATTCCTGATCATTTAATAAAATGGTTATTGACATTTGAGTTCAGACTACTCATGTCTATATGGACCTTGTCAGGAATTGGTTAACCTCGGCCTTGGGCCACTGTCAACCAGTACCTGACTAGGTCTGTATAGTCATGAGTAAACTGAATTCCAAAGTCAATTACAACCAAAATAGATTAAAAAAAACCATACCAATCCAAGCACCCATTTGCAGTATGTGTCAACTTTTTAGAATATAGGCCATAACTCAAGAACCCCTTGGCCAATTTTTGTCAAAATTGTCACAAAGTATCCTTGGCCCAAGGGCTCCCATTTATCCTAAAACTAGGGATGTGACCCTTAAACAAGGGGACATAATTAGGAAAAATAAAATGAAACATACTGGTTGCTAAAGAAATCTTCTTCTCAAGAACCACTGGGCAGATTATCGCCAAACTTACACAAAAGGATGAGGATATGTTGAAGATTAAAAATTGTTCAATGGGGCAAAGGTCATTCTCAAGGTCACTTTGACCAAAAATTAAGTTTTTATTAAAACATTGATATTTTGCTTACTATAAGGACTAGGATCATCAAATCTTGTCAGTTGACGCATCTTAGGATGTTATATCGTGTTGATTCAAAAGTAGGTCACGGTGACCTACTTTTTTAAAATTTTGTGTGCATTCTTTTTCAAATTGATTTAAAGGCATATTTACGGCACTTTAAGGCCTATGATCATCAAACTTTGTCAGTTGATGCATCTTGGGTCCTCAAAGTATGTCAACTGAAAAGTAGGTCACCTTGACCTATTTTTTGAATTTTATGGCTAATCTTTTCTCAAAGTATGTCAACTGAAAAGTAGGTCACCTTGACCTACTTTTTGAATTTTGCAGGCATTCGTTTTCAGATTGTTTTAGAGGCATATTTTGAACAATTTAAAGACTATGATAATTAATCTTTATCAGTTGATGCATCTTGGGTCCTCGGAGAACTTCAACTGAAAAGTAGATCATCGTGACCTACTTTTGAAATTTAATGGCTATATTTAAATATTTCTGGTACTTATTGTCTTACAGTCATCAAACTCTATCAGTTGATCCATCTTCGGTCCTCGGAGAACGTCAACTGAAAACTAGGTAACCTTGACCTACTTCTAATATTTTATGGCTATATTTAAATATTTTCTGGTACTTATTGACTTTAAATCATCAAACTTTGTCAGTTGATCCATCTTCGGTCCTCAGAAAACGTCAGCTGAAAGTAGGTCATTATTTCAGGTACTAATTTTGGCTTAGAATAATCAAACTTTGTCAGTTGATACATCTTGAGTACTTGGAGAGCTTCAACTGAAAAGTAGGTCACAATGACCTACTTCTGAAATTTAATGGCTATATTTAAATATTTCTGGTACTTAATGTCTTAGAATCATCAAACTTTTTCAGTTGATGCATCTTGGATCCTCAGAGAACGTCATCTGAAAAAGAGGTCACCATGACGTACTTTTGATATTTTATGGCTATATTTATATATTTTGGGTACTTATTGTCTTAGAATTATCAAACTTTGTCAGTTGATGCATCTTGGGTCCTCAGAGAATGTCATCTGAAAAGTAGGTCACCACGACCTACTTTTGATATTTTATGGCTATATTTAAATATTTCTGGTACTTATTGTCTTAGAATTATCAAACTTTGTCAGTTGATGCATGTTGGGTCCTCACAGAACGTCAACTGAAAAGTAGGTTAATGTGATCTACTTTTGAAATTTTATGGCTATATTTAAATATTTCAGGTATTTATTGTCTTAGAATTATCAAACTTTGTCAGTTGATGCACCTTGGGTCCTCGGAGAATTTCAACCGAACAGTAGGTCACCGTGACCTACTTTTGAAATTTTTTGGCTTTATATAAAATAATTCAGGTACTAATTGACTTACAATCATCAAACTTTGTCAGCTGATGTATTGGTTCCTCAGAGTATGTCAACTGAGAAGTAGGTCACTGTGACCTACTTTTGGAATTTTGCGAGAATATTTTATTGTTTTGAGATACTAATTGGCTAAGAATCGTCAGTTGATGCATCTGGGGTCCTCAGAGTGTGTCAACTGAAAAGTAGGTCACTATGACCTTGTTTTGAATTTTTACAGCTATATTTAAATATTTGAGGTAGTAATTGGCTTTGAATCATCAAACTTTTTCAGTTGATGTATTCTGAATTCTCAGAATATGTCTACTAGAAAGTAGGTCATAGTGATCTACTTTTGGTATTTCCAGGCAATATCTAAATATTTTAAAATATAAGAAACTTAAAATCATCAAACTTTGTCAGTTGATGGATTTCAGGGTCATGGAGTGTCTTTTTTAAAAAGTAGGTCACTCTGACCTAATTTTGGAATCTCAGGGCTCTATCTGGGGCTTAGAATCATCAAACTTTATTAGTTGATGCATCTTGGGTTCTCAGAGTGTTTTAACCAAAATGTAGGTCATTATGACCTATTTTTGAAATTTTAAGATGTTATCTTAATAAACAGAATACTTGGAGGCTTTAAATAGAAGTGATATGTTGTACAATTTATCAGAAGAGCGATTTAAGGCTCTTGGGCCTCTTGTTTGTTTTTATCATCTGTCCTTGAGAAGGAAAGGAAATAAAGAAATTCAGCAACTGAATGTATTGTAAATATCTTTATTGCAGATGGCACTAAAATGACAATTCTTTATTTATATTAACCATTGTTGTATTGATATGCTAAAAAAGTCATTTTTATACCCACGCAACTTGTCAGTCCATCAGTCTCAGTCCTTTTTTGTCAGCGCAACTCCTCTTAAACCGCTGCACAGAATTTCGTCAAACTGTGCAAATATTTAGGACACAATGTGTAGATGTGCATATTGTCAGGAAATTCCGATTCCGTTATTTTTCTTTTTTAGGAATTAAGGCACTTTCAACTTAGATGTTTGGGTATATCTTGAATATAGAGATGAACAGATTGTCAGTGTAACTCCCCTTAAACCGCTGCACAGAATTTCATCAAACTTTGCAGTTATTTAGGACACAGTATGTAGATGTGCATATTGCCAGGAAATTCCGATACCATTATTTTTGCCCTTAGAGTTTTGGCTATTATTGAAGAAACTTTCCAGCTAGATAATAAGGAAATCCACTGGAATCGGCTTCTGTAATGAAATTTTATGTAAAATATTTTATGACCTTAATAGACCCCTATTGATTCTGAGATCAAAATATTAATGATTCAACACACACCCACACATATACACACACCCACACACACACACCCACACAAAATCTTGAATAGAAGTACACAAAAAGCCCCCCCCCCCCCCCCCCTTCCACCTCAAATTAGTGCTTTGTCTTAAATAGTTTCATAAGTACAATATATAAACAATATAAAATGTTTATATGACTGACTACATCGTAATTTTGTTTCCGTCAATTATTTAAGTGTGTAAATTGTCATACGTTGGACATGGACTTGCACTCATTTACAAATTGAAATCACTGAGGAATTTAAATAACAGTTTGTCAGCATAACTCCTGCACTGAATTTCCTGAAACTTTGTAGGTATTTCAAACATAATGTGTACATTTGTATATTACCAAGAAATTTTAATTCCATTATTTATCTAGAAAATTCAGCCCAATGAAATTTGTAACGCACAAAGATTTGAATGTTCTTATATGCAAGCAGTTTTGATGTGATGATTTTTTGTAAGTAATGCCCCTTTTTGAATTATACTGTGTATTTAAAGTGCACCATGCCATTCATTTTGTGTTGAATCCTCAAGTTTTGGGGGAGCGTGAGGTATGTGAGCTTGCTCACTTTTTATTTCATTTTTTTGAAAATAAAATCACCCTCAATTTAATTGTAGTCACTGTGGTAGAAAAAGGTTCTCTTGGGACAATAGTGATATGAGTGATTGAGTGATATAATACAGTGAAAGTGCATATAATTGGTAAGAAATTCAAAAACGATAACTAGAGTAGCAGGGTGGCACTAAATCATATTGATAAGTAAACAATCCAACAAAGTATTCATTCAAACTTGTTAAAATGCTGTGCTTAGGGTGATGCTCAAATTAAGGATCAAATTTAACATACTTACAAAGACATATATAGGGTAAAAACTTAAAAATGATTGCAAGATGGCTGAGTTCTTGTCAAAGATGTATCGAGATACTCTCTTCCTTTCTGGAGGTTATCACTTCCACAGAGACTAGTTTAATTTGAGCTTCAATGGTTTTGCATATTGTTCACTGATTAAGTCATTTCAGGAATGTTGAATTTTTTATTCAGACTATCTAACATTCTGGGCAAAGTCCATTCATCAATACAGCAGTGAAAAGGCTCCCGTTTTACTGGTCGCCACTCATGCTGAAGAAAAGACAGAACAGGTATTTGATATGATTTTATTCCATATCTTGTTGGAACATGATTGTGATCTTTTTTTATACACTGCCATGAATATGGTTGGGCATATAGTGTTTGTCATATCTGCCTAAAGGTTTATCATTGAATTGATGGCTACTCATTTTAATTATTTAATGTACACATTCTGAACACTATGAATCAATCTGTAAGCAAACCCAAAAGCTGATGCATCTTGGCTTCTACAACAGTTTAGGAATCAAAAATGGCTCAAAATAACCCTCCTTCTAATCGGAACATGTATTCAGGTCAAACTGATCTAGTTTGGATTCCAAGAGTTCTAGGATTATCCCACATTGTTCACTTGGTCAATCTGCCAGGGGATCACCCAATTAATTCAGTGTTTCAAAAGAAGGCCTCAGTGACCTAAATTTTGTATTTAATGGTTATACAAATTTTCAAAAATTTTTTAGCTACTTAATTTATCATTATGAGATGTAGGATGATGAAATTTGAAAAGTTAATCCATCTTTGGATCTAGGGGTGTGACATCCAAAATGTACGTCAAATGGGGTTCTACATTCTAATTTTGTGGCTATTTGCCGGTATTTCAAGGTTACATCCAGATATTCTATTTGCCTATATAATATGACATCATAGTAAGCTATGTGAAATGAACTTTGAAGGTACCATAACAATTACTTAATATCTATATATATTAGATTTATTTCAGGTTCTAGATATGATTTGAAACATGCAAAATATAATATAAAACTAAATCATTCATTTGGGGTTAATGCCAAACCCATGACATCATAATTCTTGATCAAATATTTGCCAAGTGAAAATGATGGGTAACGAGAATTCATGTAAATAAATATATGAAATGGGAGTTAAAAAGCATATACGTGAATATCATGTGTAATAAGAAATTAAAGATAATTCATATGGGCAGTGTTTCGCAATCCCGGTCAGTCTTTCTTCTGTCGTTCTTCATAACAGATGCAAAAGTTCAACACTACGCTGCATTGCTATTTTCACGTTTTGTCCCTGTATTCTAGCTTGATAAATTTACTCTCAATGATATCTTCTTTCAGGAGAAAAGAAGGTTTTTTCATGAGATATGGAAGACTTTGGAAACAAATGACAGGTCCCTGCAAGGACATCTTGACACAAAAAGGATGTTTACAGTAGGATTCCATGAAAGTGAAAGCATTGAAAAAATCAAGCTGTCAGTTGTTGATGTAGTTCAAAAACTTGATCACTGGGGTGAAAAGCTTCCACACTCATGGGCAATGTTTGAAAACTTCTTTCAGGAAAAGAAATCCCTTAAAATAATCAACAAAGGGATACTCATGGCTTTCAATGAAGCTTTGCCACAGGATATAAAATTGGAGAGAGATGAAGATGTTAATACCATGCTGCAGTTTTTCCATGATGTTAAGGAAATTTTGAATTTTAACCAACAATTCCTCAGAGAAATAATTATTCTTGATGTTCAGTGGTTTGCAGATGCATTCAAACATGTTATAACTGATAAAAACCATGCAGAAGAGGATTTCTTGCATCATTCATCATTATTTTATCATGCATCGGAATGGGACAAATTCAATTATACTGGAGAACTGAGTGAAGCTTTACTGTTGGCAATATGGAATATGTACGATAATGGATGCATTGAACACAAAGATGATATCATGCTGTACATGGAGAAGCTAGGACTCCTGGCTAAAATGGAAGACAAAAAGTGGTATGTTCCATGTATGAACAAAATACCATTTCCTGGCGATAGCTTTACAAAATACCCTGCTTCATCTATCCTGTGCTACGCATTTGATATGCTTCCTGCAGGCATTTTCCACCGCCTCGTAGTAAGTTGCATGCAATTTCCTTGGACTCTTGTCAAAGAAAAAAGAGCAGGAAAAGAAGAACCATGCATTTACCAGACAGCAGCTGTGTTTCTTTTGGAGAATCATTATATTCTGCTTGGAATGACACCAACAGAAATTCAATTACAGGTCTTTGTTGTTGATGGAGAAGTTGAAATACAAACATGTTTCAAGATAAGGGAAGAAATTGAAAGTGAATTGCACATTCTTTCCAGTACGTTTCAAAGAAACTTGAAATTTCAAATTGCCTTCAAATGCAGACCTATTGGATTTTGTGACAGTGAAAGAAGTCACGTGATAAAAGAATCGGAATTTACAGAACCGACTCTTCCGTGCCCTTCCTGTCTTGCAGGGAAAAAGCATATTATTAACACGACAGATATCCTCAAATACTGGACACAGGTATTGTATTATATTGTCGTTTATATAAGTCTGCTATTTCTTTTAAATCATTAAAGTTTAAATAATGAAGACTTGATCCTGATCACGATGACGAGATCTTCAAAATAATAGTTTTGAAATATTTAGGAAAGAAATTATTTTGGAATTTAATATAAATACCTTTATGCTCTTTGTTGCCCATGTGGCACAGTGGTTAGAGCGTCTGTTCGACAGTCGCGGTGTAAGGAACTGATCCTTACATCGCAGGTTGGATTCCACTGTGGGATGTGGAGAACGGTCCTTCAGATGAAATCGTATAAATCGTGGTCACGTATTGCAGTAGGTAAATCCCTCACTGCTCAATGGCCACGAATGCCGAGTATAGGTATAAATATGCAGCCCTCAAACAGAAAGTGGTGGCGTCTCCATATGAGTGTAAAATCCTCGACAGGGAGGTTAAACAACAAACAAACAAGCAATTTAAAACTTTATACTCTTCTATTTTATATTTGAATAAGGTCCGATCTTCAGGTCCTGAAAATCAGTAGTAGTTAAGTAACTGGAAATACAAAATGCAACTAAGTTTACAAAGTGATGAGTAATTACCAAATTGAAGTTATTGCTTTAAAGTTCATCAATACAGTCAAAGTGAAAGTTACATAGTGAGTCAATATCGTGTTTCTTTTAAGATAAATGTATCATAAAGCTAAAGATTTATGAGAAATATGAATAAAGCAACGTTTTGGGATCTCAACTGCACGGTGAAAAGAAAAAAAAAAGACTGCAAGGTGTAATTGACGAAAAAAGAAAAGTTGTATGTATGGCGTGGTTGTTATCGACAATGTCAACACTGTCAAGGTCATGTATCTTTTATTTTTAGCGTGAAACTTGTAAACAACATTGAAAGTGAGGAATAAGTTCTGCATGATCATCTTTTTTAAAGATTATATCAAAATCCTTGGTCATCCTACATTTATATATAAGGAATTGACACCATGGTAACTTCAACTTTTCTGCGCATGCGTCCTTGAAGAGGAAGAAGTGAAGCAATATTTTCGTGTTGGGGCAAACTAAAATTATTTTTTCTTATATTTTTTTCCATAAAAGTAGATTTTTTTAGGTTCTGAGACCTGTAATTTTCTGAAACCTAATACTTTCAAGAACTGGATAAAATTTGCATGTGTCTTGCAAAAATTCTACTTTTGTTAATTTTCCGTTTTTCCGTCACGGTTTCTCTTATAACATATTCCAAAGATAAGACATAAAATCTCACATTCATTTTTAGGAAGCGTAAATAAATATATATAAAAAAAAAACGCTGCGTCAAGCTGAAGACATTTAACATACTAATAGGTAGTGATTTCTCCTACATCAAGCACCCAGCACCAAAAGTAAAAGTTGCAGGTCTTTCGAATGATATCTTAACTAGCTGCAGATCTGTAGCTCGCTGGTCTGAAAAAAAAATGGGATGGAGTCAAGACGACCAGAGAGCTACAGTGCCACCCATTGAAAAAAATGTATATTTATTGCGCACAAAAAAGTTGCGCTCAGTTCTGGATTTATTTTTCTAAATTCTTACCCAAACTGTACAAGAGTTTGATTAAAAAATTCCTTAGACGTCTATCAACTACTCTTTTAGTTGACATCTGCAGGAAGTCCGTTGGACCGGATTATATTGCCACCTAAATGGCAGTATAAACATGATAAACAGGCAAAATTTTTGTTGGTCTCAATTTCAGGCACAGGAGGGCTATAAACAACGGTTATAAGGAATGTTTTGTTGTATGAAATAGCTAAAGAATATGTTAGGAACAGCAATATTTTGAGATGGTAGTTTGGAAAACACGGAGAAATAAAAAGAGAAACAGCGCACTTTTTTGTGCGCAATAGATATACACTTTTATCAATGGGTGGTACTGTAGCTCTCCGGTCTGTCAATATATTTTTTTCTCGGGTAGCTACAGTTCTGCAGCTATATCTTACCAAGTTGCTGTCCTTCAAAAAGGACCACAATACGTGGACCATAGGTCTGTGTTTCTAACTGAAATTTATAAGAAAATCTTGAATTAAATAGTACGTGTTATATAAAGGATTCCTTCCATCTTGAAACATGTAAAGTTTAAATTATAATTTAATTTTACTGTCGTATTACTAAAACTGTTATTACGAACAATAGAAACATGCCTTGATCAAGGTATCTATTGTTTACTGTATGTAGCATTGACCTTTGGGATTTTTGGGTGCCTTCTCCTGTAACAAGCTATTTGGGTTGCTGTATATCAAAGGTTGCGATGTCATTGAGTAATTAGTAATACGGATAGATGCATGTAGTATTAAATATATTAAGTACATTTATATGGAGAAATATTTCAATCAATATAGAAACAACGCCACTGCAACGGGGTCAGTGTGCATCTAACTGAGCTACGGTACAATAAAGTTGACCTTTTTGCACTTAAATTGTAACTCTCTGGTTAATCACTTTAACCGTTCTCGTATTTTATAAGATGTAACCATGGCAATAAACATAATCTTATTTTACTTAAAATGGTTTGAATGATATTTATCATTGAAAAAATCATGCAAATTAATGCGCGTAAATTATTGTGTGACCTTTTTGCACTAAAAAAAAAAGTCTCATATTTGGGGTATTAAAAATCTAAATAGGCAATAGAATATTTTTTTTATATATCAAACTTTTTACAACTTAAGTGCTGATCGGTCAAAAGTATCGAGTAGTTTAAAATAGTGAAAAAAAAAGTTGGGGTCAGTGATGTAAATTTTGAAATATTGGTCAAAATATGCGATTTTCAGGCAAAAAACTGTGTAAATTTTATCTCGACTTCCTTAATATATCTTCATTTCTTGGCAATGTTTGTTGAACGAAGGTGTAAATTTTGTTATAAAAATATAAATTGAGACCTATATTTAATATTCCAGGCATATCATAACGGAAAATATTCTCCGAGTAAAAGTATGTGAGGCTAACGTTCTAAGATATTAAATTTAATAAATGTGTAGATTTGCAGAATTTTCTGCTAAATATCCTTCCGCCACAAGAAATAGTCCCTTATAAATCTTGCTTCTTTGTGAATTTTTGAGCAGTTTTTTAATTGAATGTTGAACATTTTACATTGTTTAATCTAAATATGTTATAAAGATTGAATTGTAATAAATAGTTTTTAAGTAAGAGGTTCTGACAGAAATTTTCTAAAAGGCTGACGAGTGACATACCTTAAGAAGTTCTAAATAAGAATTTTAGATTAAGAAGAAATAAAAACTAATTCACGTTGGTGCAACTTCATGATAAGGCCACTACATGCATTTGTTTCCTACTACATGCATTTTAATCAACAGTTCAGTAGAAGATAAAACTCGATCCATAGCCTACATCTTATTTCATTTTAGAATACATGTATTTATGACATTTCTTACTTGACTTTGTACAGCTTGAGTATCTTTGACGTTTTGTCAGTATATGCATAGAAACTCTGAGCTTATTTTAACAATCCATTTAAAAAACAATAGTAAAACATGTTTTATTTTGTTTGGGTTTTTTTTTTTTTTTACATAGAAGGATATATGTATAAAAGAATAGAATCGGATCTTGGATATGCTAATCAATAAAAAAAAAATACAATGTCCAGATTTTAAGCGAGATTTGCCAGTAATTGGTGAGTTCTAATTCGAAGAGGGCGAATTGTCCTAAAGGCAAGTTGTCTTAGGGGCGAGCCGCCTAAAGCATTCTGGCGCACGTGTAATCTGATGTAATCCCATGGCATCTGGTTTAACCCTGGTTATATATTTTCTGCGTGGATCTCAGGGACCAGGGTGCAGAAATTGTTATATGCAGTTTCAACTTTCTTGATTCCGCTTTAGTATCTAAAGGTTCACTTCTATATAAATAGGGAGCTGACCTATAGATCCGGGATTGGCTTTTTCGTTTACAAAAAGCTTGTCGATTTCCGTTCTGGTTAATGACTTGAGGCTAAATGCGTGTAATAATTTGTTTTTCAAAAATCTTTATTTCAGTAGTAGAGGTGGGAAAAACCTTAGACATTGACTATGTAGCATGATATTGCCAGCGCATTCTGAGTTTGTTATCTCGAAATGTTATAATTGATATTTTTCTTCAAGTTCTCATTGAACATAATGGTAATGTCTACAGTCTCAATTCTATTCTTGGTGTGTATTTATCTAACAACACATGTCCATGGATATAATAAAAAAACATGTCATTAATGTATGCAATTTATATAAATGAAATCCAAGGGAGTGCAGTAACTGATATGTAGCCCTACTGTTTCAAAACTATTAAACTCAAGTTCTGAGTTTAGAACATTGACTCTTTACAAAGTACGTGTATGTTCTACTAAATTAATATATAAAGCTCAAACAATTCAAGCAATACTTAACATATTAACCCAGACAAGCACTAGTAGTAAAGACAGAGTAAAAGCAATGTGATTAAATTATTATAAGAAATGTATATAATTGAAATCCATCACAGCTCATTGCAGCCGAGAATACCTGTATCGAGTAGGTCCTATCGAGTAGCACAGAGTGAGTTATTTTTGTCCTCGAAGAAAGTCTGCTATACTGAGGTACAGTTCCGCTTGACTGTGTTTTAGGTACATTGGAATGTTACGATTTGCTCTCTCTAATGGACATGCATAAAGGATAGATAATTGAAGGAAAATACACAAGCCTATTAAAATAGTCTTTGAAAAGACGAGAATTTAAATGTTAAAAAATGTGGCACCAAGTGGATTCGAACCCCCGACTTTAAAAAATTTATCCACGGTGTGAATAGCCAACGCTTATAACAATTGAGCTATTCTGACTTTCATAATACATTGTATAAATGTGAAACAGATTGTCAAAATCAGGTTTCCTTATTTTTTGTAGGTTTTTTGTGAATTTCGACCCTAGGGCAGGGGTGCCCCTAAAACATTCCTATCTTAAATTGTTCCTTACATCCCAACCTATCGAAATATCACAAATTTATTTAGGGGCAGACCTGCCCTGAAGGAGTTCTAGGACAAAATTCATGCAAAAATCGACACTTTAAAGGAAAAAATGCTGTTTTTGCCAACTTTGGAGGTTTATTCTAAAGTTTTAAATAATAAATTTTAGGTGCAAAATGCACATTTGAAAAATTCAGACATATATATGGTAGAAAACAACTAATAAACAAGGATTTTTAAATGTCATTTTTCCGGGAATTTGTTCTCTCCTATAGGTCAATTCTATTGATATTGTGAATACATCCTTTGTATTAAATATCTTTGTCAGATTTTGTCATACATGTATGCTTTTCTTTGTTAAAACTCTTTGTACGATTTTATCATATGAATTTCTTCTTTGTAGTTTCTTATGTTCTTTGTAACGAGTTAATATTGAAATGAGGTAAAATGTTTCAGATGAAGTCAAGCGCTCCCATATCTCCAATTGCCTCTGGACAAGACCTGGGGGACCGAACTAGATTTGCAAAACTTGGAATGGCAACAAACGATGTGTTAAATCAGGCATACAGAGATATTTTAGAGAAAGAGGTGCAGCCTTCTGATATTGAGAACAAAGTTAAAGCATCACCAGTTTATAAAAGATTGCGCCCAGAACAAGAACATCTTTTGCAGGATGCTAAACATTCCGGTTATAAAAAATTGGATATTTCATTAACATACACATTGATAAGAAACATTTGTAAAAAGATTCCGAAACCAACGAAAGGAAAATGGGGAGAAGATCCTGCTGCAGGAGAGGTAACCGTTGGTGATGATATCGAGAGAATTAGGTCAATCCGAAACAGTTTGACTGCACATGTGAGCTCAGCCTCCACCCCTCAGACAGAATTTGATGATACCTGGTCGACGATGTCAGATATCTGCCAAAGATTGGAAACCTTCACGGGAAAGAAGTACTTGGATAACCTTAATGATATTCAAAAACTGGCCTTAAGAAAGGAAGATGAGGATGTTATTATAGAAAAGGTTAAAATGGAAAGTCAACATGAAATGGTGAAGGCAATCATGTCAGATGTGCAAGAAATTAAAGCAGCAGTATTGAGGCCTGAAAGCAAGCATGCCTCAAATGTTTAAATAAAGAATGGTCAATCAAGGATTTCTGGGGGGGGGGGGGGGGGGGATTTAATAATATCAGAAACTCACAATACCTATTCATTGTAAAATATTTTCCAGTGTCGTGTAACGAGATACATGCAATATTCTTGGAGTATTGTAAAAGTAAAAATAAATGGAAAATAACATATTTGTGTTTGCCAGACAGCAGCTGTGTTTCTGTTTGAAAAAAAAAAATTTCCTACTTGGAATGAAACCAACAGCAATGCAGTTACAGATGTTAGTTATTAAGGGAAATATTACAGCACTCCGACGAGAACCCGTTAATGAGTACACTATAAATCCTTTAACGAGAATCCAATGTTAAAAATGTTAAAAAAAAAAAAAAAAGTAAAATATTAGATATCTAGACAGAGATCTATTTGCTTTTACATAATGCTTTGAGATGTGCAAAAATCATATCTAATTTTTCCCCTTTTTAGGTCACCTGAGTCACTCAGGTGACCTATTGCTATCCGTTTTCGTCCGTCGGCGTGCGTCGTGCAATGTGCGTTAACATTTGAACATTTTTAGCTTCTTCTCTGAAACCGCTCAACCAATTTCAACCAAATTTGGCATATAGCATCTATGGGTGAAGGGGAACAAAGATTGTGAATATCATCGTCCCTGCCCCCCTGGGGCCTGAGGGGTGGGGCTAAACCACCAAAATTAATGCAATCTTTAAAAATCTTCTTCTTTACTCCTGGACATCAAGCAGTCAAACTGTTAGTGTGATTGTAATAAGCATTGAGCCCTCTATCAAAATTGTGAAATTCGTGGCCCCAGGGTCAGGGGTTCTGGTGCTAGGGCGGGGCTTAATATAGATCATATAGTGAAAGTGCATTATTTCTTTGAAAATCTTCTCTGCTCCTGGGTATTAAATAAACTAACTAAGTATATAGTTATGATGAGTAAGAGTGCCTCTTCCAAAATTGTGAAATTCATGGCCCCAGGGTCAGGGGTTCTGGTGTTAGGACGGGGCTCTATTGATTATATAGTGAAAATGCATTAATTCTTTGAAAATCATCTTCTCTGCTCCTGGGTATTAAATAAAGTTACTAAGTACATAGTTATGATGAGCAAGAGTGCCTCTTCCAAAATTGTGAAATTCATGGCCCCAGGGTCAGGGGTTCTGGTGTTAGGGCGTGGCTCTATAGATTATATAGTGAAAATGCATTAATTCTTTGAAAATCTTCTCTGCTCCTGGGTATTAAATAAAGGAACTAAGTACATAGTTATGATGAGTAAGAGTGCCTCTTCCAAAATTGTGAAATTCATGGCCCCAGGGTCAGGGGTTCTGGTGTTAGGGCGGGGCTGTATAGATTAGGCCAAACAAAAAAATATGTGTGGTTCCGGTTACACCTCCAAAAATATTAGGGTAGGTAGGGAATTTTTTTTTTTTTTTTTTTTTTTTTTTTTAACAAAATGATTTTCTTAATTTTTCTAAATAATACTTATCACTACTTTGCAATTGACATTGAGATGTGGTGTGATAATATACTAGTCAATATTGGTAGGGGACACCTACATGCTAGCTTGCTTTGGATTTAACACTAACAAACACTTGCACTATGTTGTGCAAGGGGGCTGTCATTGCTGAAACTCAAACTTAAACCGGAGCCATTGATGGAAATTCGGGAAAATTCCGGAAAAAATATGAAAATTGCCAAAAAAAGTTTAAGGTCGGGGGTATAAAATAGGGACGGTCGGGTAACCGGAACCACACATATTTTTTTATTTGGCCTTATATAGTGAAAATGCATTAATTCTTTGAAAATCTTCTTCTTTGCTCCTGGGTATTAAATAAAGTAACTAAGTACATAGGTATGATGAGCAAAAGTGCCTTTTCAAAATTGTGAAATTCATGGTCCCAGGGTCAGGGTCTCTGGTGTTAGGGTGGGGCTCTATTGATTATATAGTGTTCTTCTCTGCTTCTGGATATTTAATAAAGTAACTAAGTACATAGTTATAATGAGCAAGTGTACCTTTTCCAAAATTGTGAAATTCATGGCCCCAGTGTCAGGGGTTCTGGTGTTAGTGTGTTGCTCTATCAACTATGTAATGAAAATGCATTATTTCTTTGAAAATCTTCTCCTCTGCTCCTGGGCATTAAGGTGATAAACTAAGTACATAGTTATGAGGAGGAGGTGGGCCTCTTCCAGAACTGTGAAAGCCATGGCCCCTGGGTCAGGGGTTCTGGTGTTAGGGCGGGGCTCTATTGATTATATAGTGAAAATGCTTTAATTCTTTGAAAATCTTCTTCTCTGCTCCTGGGTATTAAATAAAGTTACTTAGTACATAGTTATGATGAGCAAGAGTGCCTCTTCCAAAATTGTGAAATTCATGGCCCCAGGGTCTGCTACTGGAGACTATTTAAACAAACTAAGTGCATGGTTATGATGCATAAGGATGCCTTTTCAAAAATTGTGAATTTCATGGCCCCAGGGTCAGGGGTTCTGGTGTTAGGGTGAGGCTCTATTGATTATATAGTGAAAATGCATTGATTCTTTGAAAATCTTCTTCTCTGCTACTGGAGATTATTTAAACAAACTAAGTGCATGATTATGATAGACAAGGATGCCTCTTCCAAAATTTTTAAATATATGGCCTCAGTTTTTGGGGTTCTTGAGGAGGGGGGGGGGGCTCTATTGATTATATAGTGAAAAATCATTAATTCTATTAATTAATCATTAATTAATCCTGTCTGCTCCTTAGTGTTGAGCTGATAAATAAATTGCTTAGCTATGATGAAAATGGGAGCTTTGAACAGAATTTTTAAATCTTGTGGTCCTAGGGTCAGGGATTCTGGCATAACGAAGGGGGGGTTGGTAATATAGTGGAAAAGTGTTAATTCTTTGAAGTCCATAGTTATGATGATGAGGGTAACTCTTCCAAATTTGTAAATTTCTTGACCCTTGGTCTTGGGTTCTGGTGTTAGGGTAAGGCTTTGTTGAATCTGTAGTGAAAATGCATTGTACCTCTGAAATTCTACTCTGCTTCTGGGCATATCGGAAGCAAACTGAGTAAAAGTTTAAATGATATGAGTAAGTGTATTTCTACCAGATTTTTAAACATTTGGACCATTCTTCTAAGCATTCTGGTCCTGGGCAGGGCTCTATTAATTTGTATTCTACTGAGAGAAGTTATTCCCCTTTTCCATTCACCTTTGATAATTAATCACTGTAAATAATGTATTTGAAAGGTTAATAGAATAAGATAATTATGCAAGAATGTTTATCGTATAATTAAAAAAGTACTTTCTTAGTTTTAATAATCAGGTAGACCTGTAAGTAATAGATAAATTAAAATGAGACAAAAATAACTTATCTTATTAAAAGTTCTTCAAAGACCATAAGAGAGGTCAATGCTAGTGGTGTTAATATGGGTTTAAAAATAGTACAGAAGCACTAATAGTTTGTCAGTAGTCTGCATGGTGATAGTGTTAAGTGGGGGACAGATTAGAACTTAATTTATAAGTTGATACTGAATACTAGACTGATTATTTTGTTGATCCTGATCTTCCTACTTCTCTTGCTTTATGGCACATTGCTTCATCTATCAGTGTATTTAACTTCTAAATTGTTGTATTATACTCAGGTGACCGTTAAGGCCCTTGGGCCTCTTGTAAAACATATTTGTTCAATACTTTGGTAGACTAAGGTCATAATTGGATTCAGAACGTAGGATGTAATTATTAGAGGAAATGAATTCAAAGGAGTCTCTCAGATAATCAGGTGCCATACCATGAAGTGTAAAACAATATGTATTTGTGAAAATCTATCAATTCATATATAGTCAACCAACCAAGTTTCACAAATAATGGTAGTGATGGAGCACCTGGTGCCACATCTAATATAATTCTGGCTGCTCTTTTTGTAATTTAAAAACTCTTTCTATGCCAGCACCTGGAGCATTGCCCTAAACAGTCAAACAATAATTCAAAGAAGGCAGAATATATGCATTATAGAAAAGTTTTCGTGTGTGTAATGGGAGAAATTTTTTGATTTTACGTAATGTAAATAGTTTATATGTCAAGGACTTGCAAACAGAATCAATATGACTATTATAGCGCAATGAATGATCAATATGTACTCCCAGGAGTTTTTCTGATTCAACATTTTTAAGAACTTTGTCTGATACACACAAATCTATTTTTGAAGATGTTAACTTAGATTTTCTATGTTGAGTTATCAATGTTCAACACCATTTGATTTCTAGAACACCAGTTCTCAATCTCATACAATCATTTAGGGCATTTTCAATAGAATGCACATTGTAGAGTTGGACAGATATTAAAATTTTAGTTGTTTAGCCAGCGTTGTATTTTACCCTGCATATTCGGCAGTCAAATTGTTTTCTTTGGGGTAGGGATAATTGTTTGCATGGAAATAAAGGGGCGATAGACTTTGGTTCCATCCAAAAGTAGTCAATCATCTAGTTAGCGCCACAGATACTGGCTTGTATGAAAGTTGGAAATTGTAAAATTGTAAAATATTTTTCCGACTATATTTGTGATATGAAATCTAGCATATAAATTGTGTACATAGTAGTGCTTAATATTATAACCTCTGTATAACTTTATAAGTTTTAAGGCCGTCTGGTAAATACTGTCAATTACTGATATGAAAAGGAAAACATTTTGTACAAGAATTATAATTTTACGAACTACAAAATGTTTCGAATATGTAATAAAGATAGTATGGAAGTCATCGATATTAACTTAAAAATAAAGATGTCTTCCATAGGTCTTTGGTTACATTAATTTTTTTTAACTGTTATTTGTACATTCTTAGTAAATGATATAAAAAAGATTAAAAAAAAATCGTGTTATTGTCATCGTTCATCACCATATATTATACATTTGTCACCCTATAGCAAATGAGCTTTTGTGATCGAAATTGGTCCATTCTACTGTAAAACACTAATTTTGAAAAGGTTCAACTTCCTCACAAGAAGCAGAGAACCAATTTCAACCCTTACTGACAAAAAGCTTCCTATAGTATAGTAGAGATCGTCTGTTTAAATGACGGACCAAATCAAGCGGGGATAATTATAAAATAGAAAATATTGGGTGGGGACATTTTAAAATATTTTCAAGGACCGCTGGACCAGAGAAAGACAAACCTTTTGCGATAGTGAATATTTCCTTATATCACTAATTTTCAAACATCACTCTTGTGCAGATTCAATTTATTTAAATTATTTCTTTGGGAGGTCAAGTACGCCCACGAAAAAGGGGTTCAAAATTTTGCATAGAAATATATTTGTAGATTATTCTTCTCAAGGGTCACAGAAGATAACATTGATATGCAAAGACTCTCAGCTCAAGAGCAAAAGCTCCATCGAGATTTCCTCATTGAAGTTTGGGCACCGTATGTCCTGTATTTTCTAATTATCTTTTTTTTTCAAAAATATCTTGGCCAATTTTAACCAAATTTGACATAAAGCATCATTTGTTGAAGAGGTAGGATGGGGCCACAATAGGGAATAAAATTTTTACATTGTAATACATGTATACAGGAATAATATTTCAAAATCTCCTCATGAACCACTGAGTCAGAAAAGTTGAAACTTATGTGGAAGCTGTCTTAAGTATATTCTAAATTGTTCAAATTATGGTCCCTGGGGTTAGGGTGGGGCCACAATAGGGAATCAAAGTTTTACATAGGATTATATAGGGTAAAATCTTTAAAACTCCTCTTCTCGAGAACAGCAAAGCCATGATGAATAATATTAATATGGAAGCATCCTCTAGTAGTGCAGATTATTTTTGTTCAGATCACAGCCCCTCTGAATTTGATGATGCCCCAAAAGGAAATCAGTTTTACATACGAATGTATGTATATAAATTGGGAAAAATCTGATGCAGAAAAGCAGGGTCAAAGTGACTCAGGTGAGTGTTGTTGTCCAAGGGCCTCTGTTGTAGTCGAAATTACACTTCAAACTGACAAGGTACCTCTCTGTGGCCACTTGCTCGTACCTCGGTTTATGTGAGAATGGCTGTGCTTCATCTGACCAATTTGTTGCATAAATGCAAGACAAGAGACAAAATTCGTTTTGGCTTAAATATCACAATCCATTATTTATATTTAAAATTAGCAAAGACACACAATACACAATATGATAAACATTATAGTTAATAAACATTATCATAAATATTTTTGAATATATACCTTGCAAATGAAAAACGCCATCTGACGTTATACAAAACAAGAGACCCGTGGGCCACATCGCTCACCTGAGCACTTTGGCTAGGAAAAGGCAGAAGTCAGTTCAGTATTGAAAACACAAGTTTAAATATATAAGTGGTCCCAACAAACCACTAAATGGGAGAGGCATGATTTGAATAAACTTGAATCTACACTACCTTAAGATGCTTCCATATAAATATGACCAATCATGGCTTAAGATTTTTAAAGATGTTTTTCCTATTGGTTTGATCTTCTATTGAACCCCCGCCCTACCCCGGGAATCATGATTTGAACAATCTTGAATCTACACTAACCGAGGATGGTTCCACATATATATGACCAATCATGGCTTTGCTGTTCTTGAGAAGAAGATTATATATTTTTTTCCTATGTATTAATATATTCCTATGTTAAACTTTGATAGCCCATTGAAATTGGTCCAGTAGTTCTTGAGAAAAAGATGAAATTGTGAAAAGTTTACACCGACAACAACGACTACAGACAACGGACAAATTTTAATCGGAAAAGCTCACTTGAACCTTTACCTTAGGTGAGCTAAAAAGGAAAAAAAAACGTGCAGGTATATTAAAGTATCTTACCTGCATGTATCAGTGCAAGAGAAGAGACAAAATTTGTTTCGGCCACTGTCGACGATTGTCTAAACTCCTCCATTTATACGCCGCAAATGCTTCTTTATTTCTTACCATATTTATATATTATGTATTACTTTTAATTTTGAGTTCTACTTCAGCTTTCATTATTCTATCCTCCAACTATCTTTAACTTTGAATGGCACTTTAAAGCTCATGTTTAACTTTTTTCTCTGGCTTTTATTTTTTATTCCCAATAGATGATTTATGCAGACAAGTGATCTCTGATCACTCCGCGATTGTTTACACCTTCGTCCCTGACCAAGTTAATATCTTACAACCAAGTTATAAATATACAAACAAATAGCGCTGAAAAGTTCATTACAATTGTGTCCAGCATCAGTTTCCTTCTATTTTTATCTCACGCGATCAATTAAACATCAATGCAATTATTCTTCCCCTCAATATTATAAATTCTGTAATCTTTCTAAAGTATTTTTATGCAATTTTTCTTATGATATTAATACTCACGCATCCTTAGATAGTGCAGATCCAGATTTGCTCAAATAAGGGCCCCCGTACGGTGGGATACAATAAAGGGTTACTTTCATTTCGAGGGAAGTTGAAGGAACAAATTTTATTGAGAAGAGCAGAGCCTTATAGAGTCTCATTAATTTGCAAATATTCCTTAGTTGTGTGGATTCAACCCCCCTACCCCACCCCACCCCCACCCCCATCCCCCATTATGACCCTTGTAGTTAAGGCGGGATTTTAATTGGAGATTCAAGATAACGCATGCATGTTTACTGGAAAATGAATTAAAATTCTTTGTAAATTGTTTTTTTTTAATTGTTAAAAAGATCAGTAACCTTGAGAAGAAGTATCTCTATGTGTGTGTATACATGTTGAATCCACTGAAGTTCAGGTGAAACATTACTACTTGTCGCTAGTTTGGGGCCACAATTTACATGGAACTGAAGAGGGGAGAAATCTTTTAACACTATTCTTATGAAGAAGTGACTCAGGTGAGTGTTGTGGCCCATGGGTATATTGATACTATACTGAACTTTTATAGGTCTCTGTATTTCGAAATTTTACGTTCTATAGTCATCGACGTAGTCATGTGTTAGTATTGTGCAAGAAAACTGATCAAAGAAATACCCCAGGGCGATTTACTGGAAGTGTAAATCAATAGATTTGCGTAAAATATATATACAACGTGTATATATCTTTAAAGTCATTTTTTTTTAAATATATTACATTTTGAGGAACTCGGATTTGATTCCACAAGAGATAAATCCTACTTTTCCACATACAGGTAGTTCCTTTTCTAAAGAAGAGATTCTTCAAAATCACATGTCAGTTTTAAATATTTTCAATAATCCCAACAATCAAATTGAGATTGATAAAAATCCACTATAGAAAAAGGTGCAGATAACGAACACTGGTAGATCTTAAACTCTTTAAACATTATATACAAATTCAAATTGTGAACGGGGCCACCCAAAACAAAAACAAACAAACAAAAACCGAAACCCCTGGAAACATCAGTTGCCGAATCAGCCAAGAATTCCAATACTTCACATTTATTGTAACAAACTAATTCTTGTAATTTTTTTCATGTATGCCTTATCTATCTTCTGTCAGCTTATACTCCTTTTTGGCACCTGGTTCCACATCTAAGGGGTATCCATTTGATTTGGGGGGGGGGGGGGGCTGTCAAATTTTGTCAAGTCAGATTAAATTGAATTAATTTTTATATTCATGCCTTCAGAGAACAGAATGTTTCTTTCCAAGGTGGCCAGATATAGATTATTTATTTTCTTTCCTGAATAGGTTTGACAAGCAGAAAAAGGAATGAAATCTGCATATCTCGAAGAATCTTTTACGTGGGGGTGGGGTGGGAGACTTCCAAAACTCAAAAACTTTATTTAGTCGGGAGGGGGTCTGTCAAAATCGAAAGCTATTTTACAGTTGTGTAGCATCACTAAAGGTCAGATTATTTTTTTTCTTGTCAGTGGAGGACAATATTCTCAAAATCGATGTAGTCAAATCCACACTTTGCAGAAATTGTGTCCCTTTGGAGTGTCAACAAAAAAGGTCAAAAAAGGAAAGAAAAATTTCTCGAACCTCTTTATTCTACCAGTTATTTGGGCGTGCTCAGATAAATCATATTCCACTGTGTTTAAATTGTTTTCTTTCGATGTATGAGTAGCACAATCCTGGGGCAATCAATATGCAAAATGCAAAGATTTTTTTATTCCAGTCAAATGACAAAGTTACAAACTAGAAAACTACAAAGGCTACTGTGGGGATTCTATGGTTTTTCTCCCAAAGATGGCGGCAAAGGGATATAACTTTTGAAAAAGTGAATTCAACTATTGTCAAGGACAGAACATATCAATTAACCCCACCTTCTGATTCAAATGTTCGCCCTATTATGTTTTTCAGGGGTCTGTGTTTGCCCTGCTCTCAATTTATCTTGTTTCATGGACTTTTGAGCATGGTTACTTTTCGTAATCTTTAAATTTCATTCTAGATTTCTATTAACCCCCCCCCCCCCATTTATATTAATTGGCAAGAATACAATAGAATATTTATTCAAGCAATGCAAAGCAGCATTTTATGATTGGTAAATTTTATATGTGAGAAAGTGATAGACATACTTTATGGAAAGTATGCCTTCATTGTCTTTTTTTCCCCAAAACAAGAGAAATCTTAGCATTGTCGCTCGTACTACATTTAACGAGTCCCTGTAATTCGGAGCTCTTCGTTGTTCGAAGTTAAAAAAGGTTTATCAAATATTGAAATTGCATCCACTGATCGGAGTGATCCACGATTATTTTGCATTTACTTACCTGTAAATAACTTAAGAATGTCGCTTGCTGAAGCAGATATTTCGAAAATGAAGGTTGATGTCAACAATATTCATTCCGTCATTGCAAACTCTCTTATATTTAAACTATATGTGATCATATATAGTTCGAATTTTCTCGTTAAAATAATTTTATTTCATGTATATAGGTTGCTGAACTTAAAGCAGAACTAAAGAAACTTGGGCTGCCAACAACCGGACAAAAAACAGAGCTTGTTACTAGACTGAGAGAAGCTATACAGACAGCTGGTAGGGAAAATTGACAAATTAAGTTGATTCAAAACATTTTATGATTTTATGAGGATGTGTAATATAAACATGATAAACATGTTATTGTTTGCCTATGGAACATTTAATCTAAACAAAGAGATCTTCACTTAAAGGTTTATATTCATCTGTGTATATACTTTCCTTACAACATCTACACTGTGTATATTAAACTTTTCTTACAACATTTAACTGTGTTTAAACTTAATTTTTATTACATTTACATTGTGGATAAACTTTTTTTTGCAATGTTTACACCATGTATAAACTTTTCTTACAATGTTACACTGTGTTCAAAATTTTCCTTCAACGTTTACACTGTATATAAAATTCATACATGTGATTCTTCTTGCAGGAGACAAAATCTCCCAATATTTCAGTCCCTCCTGCCCCTCCCGATTAATTTTTAAATCTTCCATGTTTTAAAAATCTTCACATCAATACTATTTGACTTAATTGTTAGCAAGTTTCATATGAAAAAAAATTGAGATAACAAATCCATGCAGTGCAATTAATTTTCACAGCAGTAGGGTTTGTAGGAATCTACACAAGGTCATATATATAATTAGGTTGTAAACATAAAGGATATAACACACTTGCTAAACGACTACTGTTGTTTACTACTTTATTACTGAATTCAGAACAATAAAATTAGTTGCTAAAAAACCCTTATACCATCTTTTAATTAATGCAGCAATGGTCATTAAAAAATTACAGTGTATGTCACACTCTAGTTAAAAAATAGATCACACTACAGGGTGTTGCTAAAATTCTTAGACAACAAATATATTTGTTGTATATTTAAGAAGTATTTTCATTTTATCTGTGCATATTTGACAATATTATACTTTCATGTAAATTAGTTGAATCTGATTCGTCGAGAAACATTTGTTAAAAAACACTATTACCCGCTGAATGATGAAGCCACGCCCTCCAGCGTAGCAACAGTCTACATTGCTTGACGACGGGTGATATTCCAAAAAATAGCGACTGCGCAGAATTAATGTGCACAAGGTTCACTGTTATATGTATTTGTATAAAACATTCAGTATAATATAAAAAATATTGCATGTAGTTGAGTGTATCATTGAAAATTTTCACCCCTCGAAAACCATTGTCAACCTCGGCTGCGCCTCGGTTAACAATGGTTTTCTTGGGGTGAAAATTTTCAATGTTACACTCAACTACATGCAATATTTATATAATAACATTTCTGTTTAAAAAATAAATTACTGAACATGCTGAATATTATTATTTGTTACAACCTGTTATTTGTTTAAAACCTATATGTTTTATTTTACTTACAAGTTGATATTATCAGGGTCCTATATACTTAGTATATAGGTCCCTGATATTATAATATCAGTATCAGGCACATCCGGACTAAATTTTAACCAATTTTTTATTAGTGCTATTCTTTCTTGATTAAAATGAGCTTAATTTTTTTAAATACAAAATTTCACTTCACTTGATTGTAAACTTTATCATACTTTTTTTTTAACTAGACAATAATTTTATGAAATATATTTTTTTTTAAAGTAATAAACAATTTAACTGTGAAAAGGTGAAGTTCTCCAAATTCTCAACTTTTCTTTGATACTAATGACAGAGAGATTTTTAAAGGTAATTTTTCCTAAATTTAGGGTAGGATAGTCTTGCAAATTGAAAAAAAATGTCGATAAAAGATCTCCAGTTTTAGACCCAAACTCCAGCTGAAAAATTTCTAAACTCCAGTTATGATTTTTCAACTCTGTCACATGTATGAAATATAGTAACTTAGAGATTTTTCTCTCCAATTTGGGAATTGCTAGAATAACGGCTGTAGTGGTAACTGTGTCAAGAGATAAGTTACGGAAAAGAACAAATGACTAACAAAGTAACACAATGTTTTTCTGTTTCAGATGACAATGACATTGAGCCTGAAGAAGAGGTATGTCAACACTGAATGATTCAGATCAAAGTTCATCATCACAAACAATGTGTTCTTGTCTCTTGTGTACTTTTCACAGAAATAGAGTGAGCATGAGAACCCCTTTGCTAGTGAAATGATCTGGGCTGTGGATATCGGCCTGGATAGCTCAGTTGGTAGAGCACCTGACTAGTGATGCAGGGGTTCCTGGGTTCTATTCCCGGTCCAGCCATACATTTTTTTCTTTTCATGTTACACTTGCAACAATGATCATAGTTATCAGTTTCACACATACAACATTTGACAGAGCTTTATGCTTCAGATACTACATCCAGATACATGTAAAAGATAAGAAATAGAAAGTTATGCATCACCATGAATGCCTAAGGACAACCATCAATTGATATGAAGAAATTAATTATTGTACAAAACTTCCTACTGATAAATGGGCCAACAATAAAAAAAAAAAAAAGATCTGTTATATGTACTCCAAACCACCCATCAAAATTGCCCCTTTCCTGAATATTTTTTCAGTACCAGTACATTAAATTTTTTTTCTTGTTTCAGGGAAATACAGATTGTCAATATCATTTTTAAAGTGAAGGTTTTATCATTTCTCTAAGACACATATAGATTGAACCATTTTAGCAATGAATACTAAATACATGTATGTCTACCTGTCCTGTGTATAATGAAAACATAAATAAATTTCTAAGTCATTGATTTTTATTAAAATAATCAATGTGTAAGATAATTTCTCCAAAAAAAAGACACCTACCTACCTACCTTAAACAATGTAGCTCAGACTACAAACAAAAAAAATTTTAATAATGGCCTTGGAGAGTGAATGTGCCAAATCTTTTCACATTTTCATGTCTCGAGGTTGTTACCTTATCTTACTCAATATTTATTTTTAATTATTTGTATTACCATTGCTTTGTAACTGCTATTTTATAGGGAGATGATGTTCTTCAAGACGAGGAGGAAATAATTCTGTCTGGAGACCAGGATCTGTTGTCAGAAAGGTACTCATAAATTATCAGCTAGAATGTTCTCAGATGATATATTACCTGAAAGGTGCTCATTAAATATCAGCTAGAATGTTCTCAGATGATATATGACCTTTGTCAGAAAAGTGCTCCTTAAATATCAGCTAGAATGTTCTCAGGTGATGTATTACCTGTATTGGAAAAGTACTCTTTCAAATATCAGCTACAATGTAGAATGTTCCCATGTGATATCATATATAATAACCTGTATTGGAAAGGTACTCGTCAAATATCAGCTAGAATGTTCCCAGATGATATGTAAACTGTACTGGAAAGATAATATTGTAGTGGGTCAATAATTCTGGTTGAATTATGAAATATAAGATTGAATTTCAGTATTCAAAAACCTGTGTTGTTTTGTTGCTTTTTTTTTTATCAGTTCCGCTACAAGATGTCAGAAGTTTGACTATTTTAAAGGATTTTAAAAACTCAGCTGCCACTAAACACAGATATAATGATATATTATAATCTTACCTACACTTTATTTTTTGTATAGAAAGATTTCAAAGATACATAAACTACATATATACATGTACATGTACATGCACATGTACTTAATGGATTCTACAACCAATCATAATTATACACACTTTTTTTGACATGTATATATCTTCTTTTACAGCCAATTGGAGTGATGTTTATTTTTTCAGCCAATCAGATTGAAATGTTATTTGATGTTATATACAGCTACATCTTTATCATTTACACTCAGAATGATTTCTGTATTTCCCTAGTTTGTGTTTTTCAGCCAGACAAAGGCAAAAGAAGAGGCAAAGGAGGAGGCAGAAAATGTTAAGCCAGCAGCCAAAGTCATCTCCACCAGTCTGTCTGAAGAAGATGTAAGTAACAGTGTTAAATGAGAGAGAGAGAAGTCACTCCCAAGTCATCTCCACCAGTCTGTGTGAAGAAGATGTAAGTAACAGTGTTAAATGAGAGAGAGAGAGAGTAATCACTCCCAAAGTCATCTCCACCAGTCTGTCTGAAGAAGATGTAAGTAACAGTGTTAAATGAGAGAGAGAGAAGTCACTCCCAAGGTCATCTCCACCAGTCTGTGTGAAGAAGATGTAAGTAACAGTGTTAAATGAGAGAGAGAGAAGTCACTCCCAAAGTCATCTCCACCAGTCTGTCTGAAGAAGATGTAAGTAACAGTGTTAAATGAGAGAGAGAGAGAGTAATCACTCCCAAAGTCATCTCCACCAGTCTGTCTGAAGAAGATGTAAGTAACAGTGTTAAATGAGAGAGAGAGGGAGTAATCACTCCCAAAGTCATCTCCACCAGTCTGTGTGAAGAAGATGTAAGTAACAGTGTTAAATGAGAGAGAGAGAGAGTAATCACTCCCAAAGTCATCTCCACCAGTCTGTCTGAAGAAGATGTAAGTAACAGTGTTAAATGAGAGAGAGTAATCACTCCCAAGTCATCTTCACCAGTCTGTGTGAAGAAGATGTAAGTAACAGTGTTAAATGAGAGAGAGAGAGAGTAATCACTCCCAAAGTCATCTCCACCAGTCTGTGTGAAGAAGATGTAAGTAACAGTGTTAAATGAGAGAGAAAGTAATCACTCCCAACCAATGTTATCTCTACAAGTCTAGTCTGTGAATGACTTGAGTAACAGTGTCACATGAGAGAGAGAGAGAGGGAAATCACTCCCAACCAAAGCCATCTCCACCAGTCTGTGTATAAGCAATAAGGGTCATCTACTCCTTAAGGTGAAACCAATGTACTGAGTTTGATGTCTGTCAGGCAAAGGTTCTCAAGATATTGAGTGGTCAATATCTTCTTATATCCAGTTTGACCCTTGACCTTAGGCCTTGTGACCTCAAAATCAATAGAGGTCATTTAGTCGTTTATGAGAATCGGTGTGCCAAGTTTGATGCCTGTCAAGCAAAAAGTTCTTAAGATATTGTCAGTATATTCCTATGTCCAGTTTGACCCTTTCCCTTTGACCTTTAGACAATAAATCTACTTTTCCATGGGAACCAGTGTACCAAGTTTGATGTCTGTCAAGCAAAAAGTTCTTAAGATATTAAGTACTGTGGAATCATTTAAATCCGTGGGGGTCAATGTTCGTGGCCAAGCAAAATTGTATTGGTTCATGGGGATGTAATTTCGTGGGCAGCTCGCTTTTTTTGGTAGATTTAATTAATAAGTACGTTGACAAAAAAATTGTTCATGGGGATGTAAGTTCATGGGTAAGGGTGACCCACGAAATCCACGAACATTGACCCCCCACAAACAATGATGATTCCACAGTAGTCAGTATATTCCTACATACCGATGTCCAGTTTGACCCTTGCCCTTTGACCTTCAGACCATAAATTCTAGCGTTGTAATCTACTTTTCAATGGAAACCAGTGTACCAAGTTTGATGCCTGTCAAACAAAAAGTTCTTAAGATAGTAAGTAGTCAGTAAATTCCAATGTCCAGTTTGACACTTGCCCTTTGACCTTCAGACCATAAAATCTACTGTTGTAATGTACTTTTCAATGGAAACCAGTGTACCAAGTTTGATGTCTGTCAAGCAGAAGATTGTCAAGATATTGAGTGGTCAATATTTTCCTATACTGTAGATTCCTTATTTTTCGCGAGTACTTATTATTGCGAAATGACTCTTTAACGTCGAATCACGAGAACAATAATCAGCGAGTGGATGGTTGATCAAGTGATTTTACATTGATTTCAGCACCATAAAAATAAAAGGGAGTAATTATATTTCGTGAGTGGTGCTTCTTGCTTAATTACAAAATAATTATTTATGAATCTACAGTATCCAGTTTGACCCTTGACCTTAGACTTGTGAATTCAGAATCAATGGGGGTCATCTCCTCTTTAAGAGAAACCAGTTTGTCTTGTTTGATATTGTTAAGCAAATGATTCTTGAGATATTGAATGGACAAGATCTTCCTATGTCTAGAGAACTTTGATCTTTGTCTTTATGTCCTCAAAATCTGTAGGGGTCATCTACTCTTCAGGGAGTACCAGTGTACTAAGTTTGATGTCTGTCAAGCAAAAGGTTCTCAAGATGTTGAGCAGACAACACTTGGTCTACCAATGGATGCAAAGCAATATGCCCCCTTTTGCGGGGGGTGGGGGGGGGGGGTGGGGGTTAAAACCTTTCTTTTGCAGGGGGGGAGGGGATATAAAAGCATACTTTTCCCAAGACAACTTTCAATAGATTATCTTCAATTAGATGTAGTTAAGGGGAAATGTTGTGTATACAATATAATGGAATTTTAAACACTGAACAAGAAGCCAGAGTTTAAATGTTTGTCTTAAACATGTTTATTTATGACATTTTCTTTTTTATTTTGATATCTTGTAGAGGTTGAAGAAAAGGGCAGAGAGATTTGGAGCAATGAGTGAAGATCTGAAAAAGAAAGCACGAGCTGAGAGGTCAGAGGTCGTCCATGAAAAAAAAAGTTTATGTATATGTTAAGTTTTATTTTTTGAGACATGAATATATTATTAGTAAATTTTTTTTACAAAATTTTTTCCTTGGAACAGCAAGACCATAATTAGTCAAATTGATTCATAAATTTTACATGGCTATTACGTTGTAGTGTAAAATCATGCTTTTTCAAAACTTGACACTGAGATGGGGTTCAGAATTTTGCATTTGAATATACATGTATTTTCAAAGATCAATAAAATCTTTCACTTTTTTCAAAAGAAACTCAAGCCATGAATAGTCATATTAAAAAAAATCAAGTTCTTCATGTGGTGAATATTTAGTTCAGTATCTGTCCATATGGACAAGGTTTGAGTGACTACCACAGAAAAAGTCTTATTTATAAATTATATTAGGGTTGGGCAATAATACTGATATTCCTGTGTATTTTGATTCATTGACATAAAATATTGTTTTGCGATACCTTTTGTAGTACCAATATACCGACAGAATGCTTGGACTCATTTCTGTAATAAAGTGTGAAGTTTAATATGACAAAAGCATGTGCGAACATGCCAAACAGTAAGGAAAAGCTGTTGTATGGATGCATTGCAGTGCATAACTGTAATTAAATCAAGGACTGCATGTCTTTTTCTTTTGGTTGTTTATCACAGTTATGCACATTCTGCATATAAATAGAAGTTAATAAAATAAGAAAAGACCATTTTGATTTTTCATTGAAAATATTGCAATACACATATCAATACATTTAAAAATATCGAAATAGCGGGTTTTCTTGGTGGGTGTAAAATTTGGTGTTTTACTCTCTCAAAGGTATGCCAATAATTTTAGCGTAATTTATTTTAATGGACCAAGGGTTCCAACACAATGCAAAAGAACACTAAGAAGAATACAAAATATTTTAACAGTTATAATTTTAGCGGGCTACTACCAAAACGCCAAAATAAGCTAAAATTAGCACCCCACTAAAATAATCCGCTATACGGTATATCACAATATGAAATTTCCAGCTAATACCAAGCCCTAAAATGTATAGACAGTCTCTGAACATTGTGTTCATTAAGCTTTTTGTCTTTTGTGCTCATCAAACCTACAAGTTTTATGCATTGTAAGCCACTAACAAGCTTCACAATTGTCAGACAGATAAAGTTTGCCTTATAACTGATTTCTTATTCTGTAGATTTGGTACCTCAAAGCCCAGTAATGGAAAGATCACATCAAATGTTGTAAGTGTTCAGATTATAATTAGGTCTCAGTGACTGTAATTTTCAGATTTACAGCTAAATAATTAAAAATCGTACAGTGAGTCTTGTCATGTAGGCATATTTCATGAAGTGCACCACCAAAAATATATGCCTATATGTGCAATTCTGTGTGATCTACACAGCAATAACATCCACAAACTAAAAAAAACATGCTTTTCATTTACATTTAACATGTTTAAAACCAACAAAAATACACTCAAAATTAGAATTTTTGTTGCCCTACTTCGTTATATTTAAATTACCGTCTCTGTAGCCACAGTGAGGTCACTTATGCGTGAGTTTCTCCTTGTATATATGGATGACTATACAAGAAACATAGGTAATCAAAGATTACGAAGCTCACCTCGACGAATGTTATCTACATGTAAGGCAAATTTCACATCATATTTTTTTTCTAGTTAGGGTACATCCCAAGATCAATATCCATGCAAGTTTGATTTAATTATAGACCTGCTCAAAAAACTTTTGACCTGTTTAGTAATCAAGAAAATTTTGGTCAGTTCCAACATCCAAAGCAAGTCTGGAAGTTTTCATCCTTAGATGCACCATCTATGCAAGTTTAATCATAACAGGCCATAATTTTATATAGCTACTCCAAAAAAATTACCCTGGTCACTCTTCTGGAAAATGTACATCAGATTCAGAATCCAAGGCAAGTCTGGAAGTGTCCATCCCTAGATACATCATCCATGCTAATTTGGTTAAAATATGGCTAAAATTCACTCATGTGGAAAATCTAGGTCAGATCCAGCATTCGAAGCAGGTTGGTTAGTGTACATCCCTAGATGCATCATCCATGAAAGGTTGGTCCAGGTAGGGCTTATAGTTACTTGGGAATGAGACTACTCCTAAATCTAAACCTGGTCTCACATGTGGAAAATCTAGATCAGATCCAGCATCCGAAGCAAGTGTGGTAGTGTCCATCCCTGGATGCATCATCCATGCAAGTTTGGTCCGGGTAGGGTTTATAGTAACTTGGGAATGGACCTGCTCCTAAAACTTTAACCTGGTCACTCATCTGGAAAATCTAGGTCAGATCCAGCATCCGAAGCAAGTTTGGTAGTGTTCATCCCTAGATGCATCATCCATGCAAGTTTGGTCAAGGTAGGGCTTATAGTTACTTGGGAATGGACCTGCTCCTAAAACTTTAACCTGGTCACTCATCTGGAAAATCTAGGTCAGATCCAGCATCCGAAGTAAGTGTGGCCATGTCCATCCCTAGATGCATCATCCATGCAAGTTTGGTCAAGGTAGGGCTTATAGTTACTTGGGAATGGACCTGCTCCTAAAACTTTAACCTGGTCACTCATCTGGAAAATCTAGGTCAGATCCAGCATCCGAAGCAAGTTTGGTAGTGTCCATCCCTAGATGCATCATCCATGCAAGTTTGGTCAAGGTAGGGCTTATAGATACTTCGGAATCAACCTGCTCCTAAAACTTTCACCTGGTCACTCATCCGGAAAATCTAGGTCAGATCCAGCATCCGAAGTAAGTGTGGCCATGTCCATCCCTAGATGCATCATCCATGCAAGTTTGGTCAAGGTAGGGCTTATAGTTACTTGGGAATGGACCTGCTCCTAAAACTTTAACCTGGTCACTCATCTGGAAAATCTAGGTCAGATCCAGCATCCGAAGTAAGTGTGGTAGTGTCCATCCCTAGATGCATCATCCATGCAAGTTTGGTCAAGGTAGGGCTTATAGTTACTTGGGAATGGACCAGCTCCTAAAACTTTAACCTGGTCACTCATCTGGAAAATCTAGGTCAGATCCAGCATCCGAAGCAAGTGTGGTAGTGTCCATCCCTAGATGCATCATCAATGCAAGTTTGATCCAGGTAGGGCTTATAGTTACTAAGGAATGGACCTGTTCCTAAAACTTTAACCTGGTCACTCATCTGGAAAATCTAGGTCAGATCCAGCATCCGAAGCAAGTTTGGTAGTGTCCATCCCTAGATGCATCATCCATGCAAGTTTGGTCCTGGTAGGGCTTATAGTTACTTGGGAATGGAACTTGCTCCTAAAACTTTAACCTGGGACGCCGACGCTAACGCCGACGCCGACGCCGGGGGTATAGCATAAGCTCATCTCGACTTCGTCGAGGTGAGCTAAAAATGGCATTAAAATCACTGCTTTAGTTGCTTTAGTCAAAAAACAAAAAGCAAATGTAAATTTTAAGGATTTCTTTTTAATGCACGCACTCAGATGTATGATATTACTCATTACGGTACTTTTGAAGTACAACAGATCAGGAATCATATACAAGTCAGTAGCCTTTTTCACAAAAATTCTTACGAGTAAGATTAAAATTTTACAACTCTCTAATTTCTTTGTTTGATAAAGAAAATTAATTTTTTCAGAAGAATAATTCTCAATATACTGTAATGTAATAGAAATATAAGATTTTTTGTAACATACTTCAATTTAGGTACATGCAGAAGAATTGGAAAAATTTAATCTTAGTCGTAAGATTTTTTGTGAAAAGGGCTACAGATCATTACTGAGTTGAAATGGGGAAATACACCCTAGAGAGTTTGTTAATTTTATGAATAATTTTTGTGTATACTGATCTTTAGCAGTTTCACAATTCCATGAGAAAATGTGATTGTGCTGACTATTCTTTTTTATGCATGTATTCACCCAACCACATAGTACATGAAGGAAACGCTCTTCTGTGTGAATAGCATCACTTCATTGCCTTCAGTAAAAATTTAACCAACACTGCACTATAACAGAATTATACTTTTGGTTTTATTTTGTAGGCAACTGATGTTGATAAGTTAAAGCAGAGGGCAGAGAGATTCGGGACTGTGGTGGCACCTGTCCTATCTAAGGTAGACTTCTCTACTTACGCCTTACTTTACACCCTTTCTAAGGTAGAATTCCCTACTTACATCTTACTTCAAGGTCAAATTACATGTCCAAACAAGAACTGGATGACATACATTTTATACAATCTAACCTTGTTTCCTTGAATCTGATCATGCTGATTGCACTGAGAAAAATACATGTAAAAACTTGATTGACAGTCCACTCTTGATTTCAAATTCTCTTGATTTGATGCCTAAGAGTCATTTTGCAATATTATTAATAAGTACTCTTGTAAAATAATGAATCTACTGTACATAGTGTCTCAGGCATGTACACATATTTTATTTGTAGATTACTTGTTTGATTCATCTTTCAGAATTAATTAAATGCACATGCATATTTTAGACATATTCACAGAATCTGAAAATTATCATTTATTTTGTTGTGTATGAAAAGAATTTGTAGAACTATCAATAAAAATAAACACCAACACTTTATAGTGACTGATGATAAGTTTATCAGAGAATCTTTTTACAGGTGACAAACACGGACAAATTAAAGGAAAGGGCCGAGAGATTTGGAACAGTAGTAGCACCAGCCTTATCCAAGGTGTGTATAACTTGTTCTAAATACCGTATATACTCGCCTATAAGTCAGTCCGCCTATAAGTCGGTTGTATTTTTAAAGCTTAAATTGAAGGGATTGACCCACTAAAATACCGTTATTTTTATTACTCACGTATAAATCGGATCATGAGTTTTGGATCAAAGTGTAACTCCCAAAAAAACAACTTATAGGCGAGTAAATACGGTACTATTTTTTATGGCTCGAGACTCAAAAAGTCTTAATATACAGTCAAACTTCGTTATCTTAAACTCGATGGGACCGAGAAAATACTTCGAGATATCTGAGGGTTCAAAATATCGAGGGTAAAATAATTTAGAAATACATGGTTAGGACTTCCCAATCACTTCGACATATCCATGGCATTTGAGATATCCGTGTTCGAGATACCAAAGTTCAACTGTATTTTGGTTCTGGCAAGACATTTTAAGGATTAACACCCCCAGGCAGGTTGTGGAATGTTTTCTTCTCTGTAAAGATTTTACTGTAATTCATAAATTTTTTAAATAGTTACATATTCTGATTGGAATTCAATTCTGTCAATGGTGAATCACACGAGGTGGTAATCTGTCTCACAAACACATCAAGTTTATTTAAAAAAAAACCAAAACACTGAATTTCATCAGAATTGTTTTGGAAAGTTAGAACATGAGGAATCAGACAGTCTCTATGAGATCTCGGAATGTTTATCAAGTTAGTTTTGTAACGGGCATATGAATCAACTTGAAGGCATCTTAATTAATTGGTTAATGAGCAATATATTAATGAGTAACACAGTACAATCCTTATTTGGATAAGAAGTCAGGTATGATAGAATATTCCTAGTAATTATAAATGGACCTTTTTTACAGTCTGTGGAACAAGAGCAGCTACTGAAGAGAAAGGCGAGATTCGAGGCCAGCTCGGGGTCAGCCTTATTAGATAGTGTAGAAGTGAGTAAATGTCCAGTAAAAACTAACCTTAATGTACCAGGGTACATTACCCCATCATAAATGACCCAGATTTCTTGTTATTACAAGATATCCTAGATTTTCATGTCATTCAAAAGTGATTTAGAAATTGCTGTAGGAGATAATCTTTTCATTCACAGCCTACTTACACATTTTTTTTTCATTTTTTATTCTCGCAGATTTTTATATAGATTTATCATATACTTAGTAGTAAATACACCGATTCTGCACTGTACAATAAGAGTGACGTCACTATATGCCATATCGAGGACCGGTCCAAAAATCCATATCACGTATCGGACCTGCGTGCAAAAATCCATATCAAACTGGAAGTAACATTTGTATAGAGTTTAAAAGTTAATTAACTTGATTTTATTTAAATGTACATGTAAAATAATTCTTTCATAACATTTGTGGTCTTAATTTTTTTTCAGTTACCTGAAATTGGCTCGATTAAATTTAAAGAAAGAGGTCATAAACAGGCACGAAACATTCTTCAACGATTTTATGTAAACTCGCACATTAAGTATTTTAAATATATGATAAATAGAATACTAGATACTAAAATCCATATCATATGTCACATCAGCCCTTGGGCCCCATATCAGCCCTCGGGCCTTCTGCCCTTGGGCTGATATGGGGCCACTCGGATTGATATGACATATGATATGGATTTTAGTATGTAATATTCTCTATATGTTGTATAACAGTTTATCTATATTTAGATTTCAAACACAAGAATTTTTTCACTTAATCAGGTGACTAATTGCTAAACTCTATCATTAATTTTAATCTTAATATATCTTTTTGCAGGCCAAGAAACAAAAGCGTGCTGAGAGGTTCGGACTGACGTAGCGGGTTCTATACTCACAGCTGTGTTCATTATAGGCAGTACCATATAAACATCACGAAGCGGATGAGAGGGGCCAGGGGAAATTGAATGAATATTTAGTCGTATCTCCTCCAGTCATTTATAATTAAGGAATATCATAATATCATAATTATCTTTGTTTCATTTTTCATCATTGTGACTTCGTGTAAGTGAGAAAAACCGGGAGATGGACTGATTGTATCTAGATGTATTTTACAGAGAGAAGATTAAGGTTTTATCTGTGTATCCATCCTTTTACTGAAGTTTCACTTGTATATTACTCATATCATTAATAATGCAATGAATTATAGATATTTTAGTTCAGGTTTTAAAATAAATAAAATTTGTTTACTTATAATGTGTAGAATTCTATTTATCTATTCAAATAATGGTGTATACAATAGAAAGATTGTATATTTTTCTTCTGCAAAGATATTGAACTGTCTGAGGATGTGAGCATTGGTCACCCTCAAGCTTTAAGTGTGATATACTTGGTATGCCATACATAAATCATATACCCGGTTTAAACTTTTATCAGGCAGTTATCCTTCCTAATAAATGTTTTAAGTATCTGATTTTTTTTTTGGCCATGTTATTACAGAATAATCTTACAAAATAGACCATCAGCATTGGGAATCCATATGCAAAAAATTTACAAATATCTTATTTTTTTGGTTTTCAGGAATTCCATAACGAGATGTAAGAGTTAATTAATAAATCTGTCATTAATCATTAAATTTAGTACATTAATTTATGTGGACACTTTATTAGATTTCAGTTTATGTTATCATAAGAATAACATGTATGTATTCTTCAGTGGCTGACAAGAAGGAGGAACGAACATTATACATTTATTGACTGGGTTCGAGGGCAGCAAGCGTTTTGTCGGACCCAAGAACCAAACTGTTTGCCTGAGGCCAATAGGCCGAAGACAAGCAGTTTGGTTCGAGGGGTCGACAAAACGCATGCTGCCCTCGAACCCAGTCAATAAATGTTTTGTTATACCTTTTATTTATTTATTTATTATTTTTTGTACATGACTGTATCTTTTGCTGGCTTCATATTAACGAATGCAAATAAGATTTAGCTGAACCGCCCAAAGTGTGACGTAAGCAGTGCAATATCTCGTCCACAGGTCCAATTTCTCACCTTGCGGTCAAACATCGATTTTATGACCGCTCAGTAAAACATTAGAAATGTTAGACTTTTTTAGTATAGATTTACATAGGAAGTAATTTCTATAGGTATATAACAATGATGTTTATTTTTCAAATTTTGACAGGTGGAAAATTAATCGGAAAAGAATTTATGTAAATAGGGAACAAAGGGTGTCAGCAGGGGGCCCTCAAATTTTAATGACAAATATCCTCTCCGGGTCCAGTATTTATCATTTCTTCCTTAGATCTTTTATAAATATTGTAGTCAATGTATGTACATTCTACATTTTCAACAGAGAACTTCAAAGTAAGATGGATGTAGGAGGTAAAATTCTAATTTTAATAATTCTACTTTTTATTTACCCCCAAAAAGAATTGCTCTGGAAGAAATATGCTTATTTATAAAGAAAATATTTTATATCAACAGGTGAATACACACGGGTTTCAATTTGGGCTCTTGACTGGTATAAACTACAGATCTGTAATTATTAATATGAGCACATCCACGTGCTTGATAACTAAGCTGACAGAGAATCTGTCGAGTTCATTGGGGGGGGGGGGGGGGGGGTCCGAATCCTGCTTGATCTGGTCCGTTGCATATTCTACCTTCCTGTTACATTGTTGTCCCGGCCGTTGACCACACCTTGAGTTATAGGCGAAAGTCCTGCCATGGAACAAAAAATTATCTAGGTTGAATTCTTCGGGGAAAACGTTATTCAAGAGGAGGGAATGTGGCGATCAGGCGGGTTCGGTCGCCGGTGGCCAGTTGTGGGGCAGCTGTTCACGTAGAATTCTGGTCTGGTCTGTTGCATTTTCTCCCTTCCTATTTTGAAATAATAAGTGTTTGTCCCCAATAACCCCTATCCCCTGATATTCCACAAAGCAATAACTTCAGAGATGAAAAGAGGAGTTTGGGAGTGACTCTACCTTCTTGTTTTGCTAAATGCTGTTATTTTAAACATAAGATCACGGCAATAAAAGCCCATCATTTTATAGCATTCATTTCCTGTTAAGTTTATTTGACTGCAGGGTCTTTGCTCAATAAAACTGTCGATTCTCTCTAAATGCTCTTTAATGTTTATTTTATTTACTTGGATGTCAGCCATGTTTCTGTCACGTGTCAAGTTTTACAGTGTGTTTGAAAACAATGTGTGTGTGGTTTGTAAATAACGTGTCATTTGGCGAGTACTAATGCTAATACTGATATCATAATTAGCTAATTTTTCTCTCACTTTATATGTTTAAGTTCACATGCAATTCTTTCAGGGTTTATAGAATAAATGTAAATGCATGCATGGCCGTAGGATCGGGGGGGGGGGGGGGGGGCTTGCACCCACCCCACTCCTAATTGCAAATATATTATAGTACCGTATACTAAAGAAAAAAAAGTTGCTTTATTGACCCCCCTTTGAAATTACTTCCTATACAGGCATGAAGTGTAAATGTTATCGACTTTATTGTTTTTAAATTGGCGATTCCTTCAAGGGTGGGAGGAAAAATTTTGTATTCATGCTGTACCTAACGATATTGTCACGCCATATCTACCTTAAGCTTCACAGAAATGCTGAATTAAATTAGATGCCTGCTCTGAATAAGAAAGCAGCTAAAATAATACCACATGGATAATGAATAAAATCGATTATACGGAAGAATAAAATTCCTTCTAATTTAGCAATATACGAGAAACCACAAACTGTCCGTTTCCCCCCCCCCCCTGCTTTCTTCTTATTTTCAGTATAATTCCATAAGATTGGATCAAACAAAGCTCTGTAGTGTATGAAATTGCCTTGAATTGAAGAAGCGACATTTATAAATTTCTTTACAAGAACAAGGAGTTAAGACGATAAGGCCAGGAGCGAGTATTCGAGGTCACAAAGGAGCGACATTGCACCCTCACTCTGTCATCCTCGCGTTTTCACTACCATTTTTGTTTTAAAAAAATCGCCTTTCCTCCTTCGAGTTGACGTTCTCGCTTAGTCGTCCTCTCTCCTCTTTGCCTTCGCATTTTCATTCGACTCATTGATTGCCCATGTTCTCACAGGGAATGGCCCAGCATACCGCGTATATCGACTCTTATAATGTCCGAGTTGAGAAAAAAATATTTATATATATGTATGTGCAAAGTTATAGCAATATACTGGGCTGAGACGTCGGGTGAAGGTCGATTTAAGATTTTTTTTTTTTTTTTGGGGGGGGGGGGGGGAGTGCCGTCAGTCGTATAACTGCACCTGGCCGTACCGACAAATTGAATACCATGCGTTAGCACGGTATGATAATTTGTCGGCACGGACAGGTGCTGTTATACGACCGACGTCGTCCAAAATAAGAATTCCATGCTTATATTTACATTCTCTATAATTTTTCTCTCATCATAAATGTTAATTTCATTCAATTTTATTATAAATTTAGCGCTTTTTAGAACTGGTATGGTTAAAAGAGGTAAGAGACGTTGTGACGTGGAAAGTTAAATAATGCAAATGAATATTTCGAGGGAAAAAATGAATCAATTTTAATGTACGATTGCGATATTTTTACAACTATTTAATAGCGATTCTCTGTAACCACTTGAACTTCTTTGCCACGCATGGTCACCGATTTTGATGAAACTTTGCCCATTATTACAACTTGACACCTGAAACATATATCAAATAAAATTTCGTTGCTATGTGTCTTGGTTGCCATGGTAACAGCCAGAAAAGTTGAAAAAATTGAGATTTTCAGCTACTTTAAATCTTTATTAAGCCTTAATAAAGACTAAGAAAAACAAACAAACCATTCTCCCAAAAACATGACACCTTGTTGTCACTTATGCTATAAAGAAACTATTTAGAATTTATCTCTAAGTAAGTGGTAACCATGGGTACATTTGGAATACATTTTAGATGCTGAAAAATGCTGAAAACGCTCTATAGTCACAAATGATAGATGTTACATGATCAAACTCAATCAACAACGTAAGAAAAACAATGAAAAATATTTGACCTCATGTAATTAGGTATTGGCAATATTATTCTAAAAATAACTTTCATGGTTGCCATGGTAACACAGTGTCACCATGCAAAATCTGTTGCTATGATTGGGTTAATGCTACTATTGTAAGGAAAAACAATAAAATTCATGACTGGCACATATACATCCTTAGGACCTTGCAACATCGACAACGTAAGAAAAATTGAGATTAATTGTTACTTTGCAGTGTAACCATGGAAACAACGTACTAGTTGTTTAAAGTGATATTTTTTTTGCTGCTTTAGGAATTTACTAACCTTTTAATCAAGAAAAATATTATTTGAATCACCTTGAATAGTACTTGTCTCGTAGAACTAAAGTTGAATATCATTTATTGATAAAGGTTGTTGAAAAATACAACACTGTTGCTATGGTTACCAAGAAAAGAAAATGTTCGATTTTGTTAATTTTTTGTCAATATTAGACCCTATGTGCCAGCTTTTTGCATCCAGTTAGAGATTGGGTGATTGTATTACTTTTGAATACTTTGTTTCCATAGTAACGTATGTTATAGATGATTTACCAAACATGTTTATCTTGCATTTAAGACACCAGGCCTTCAACTTTCAGAAACACTCATTGCCACTTGTTTGCTTTGCTGCAAACGTTAACTGTGGGACTCTGAAGATGTTGAAAAATGCCATTTTTCAAACTTTAGGACATGTTGCTATGGTAACCATGACACATAGCAACCAATTTTTGCCTGATTTGAGTTTACGGTATCAAAGACTTTTATCTTAGAGAGTTTGGAGAAATTCTGAGACTATGCGTGCCACAGCTCCTATATAAAAGTTCCAGTCATTACAGAGAATGGCTCTTAATACGGTAATTGTTTTTAATTAAATTGAGCGAAAACAATATGCATTTTGGTGATCCTAGTGCATTGAAATCGTATATAATTCCTATTGTGTATTCTACCGCGACGTGACAAAGTTTCGCGTGTGTTAAAGGGGGTTGAATGTTGTAGATTTCCTAAAGAAAATTACTCTGAATGTAAATATATTGTTTTGGATACAGTAATTGTGCTTCCCTTTGCTCTAGGGTCAAATTTTTTTTCAAAGAAAGCTTCCTAGATACTATAAAGTGGACATCACGCATGGGAGTAATTTACATTAAACATGGGAGTAATCAACACTTGATATGGGAATAATTTATATTTGACATGGGAGTAATCAACACAGGACATGGGAGTAATCAACACTTGACATGGGAGTAATCAACACTTGACATATAAGTAATCAACACTTGACATAGGAGTAATCAACACTTGACATGGGAGTAATCAACACTTGACATAGGAGTTATCAACACTTGACATAGGAGTAATCAACACTTGACGTAGGAGTAATCAACACTTAACATAGGGGTAATCAACACTTGACATGGGAGTAATCAACCCTTGACATAGGAGTAATCAACACATGACATGGGAGTAATCAACACATGACATGGGAGTAATCAACACAAGAAATGGGAGTAATCAACACTTGACATAGGACTAATCAACACTTGAAAAATAAGTAATCAACACTTGACATGGGAGTAATCAACACTTGACATAGGAATAATTAAAATATGACATGGGAGTAAATTACATTTGACATGGGAGTAATCAACACCTGACATATAAGTAATCAACACTTGACATGGGAGTTATCAACACTTGACATAGGAGTTATCAACACTTGACATGGGAGTACTCAACACTTGACATTGGAATAATCAACACAAGACATGGGAGTAATCAACACTTGACGTCGGAGTTATCAACACATGACATGGGACTAATCAACATTTGACATAGGAATAAAAAACATATGACATGGGAGTAATTCACACTTGACATGGGAGTAATCAACACCTGACATATAAGTAATCAACACTTGACATGGGAGTAATCAACACTTGACATAGGAGTTATCAACACTTGGCATGGGAGTAATCAACACTTGACATGGGAATAATCAACACAAGACATGGGAGTAATCAACACTTGACATAGGAGTAATCAACACATGATATGGGAGTAATCAACATTTGACATAGGAGTAATCAACATATGACATGGGAGTAATTTACACTTGACATGGGAGTAATCAACACCTGACATATAAGTAATCAACACTTGACGTGGGAGTTATCAACACATGATATGGGAATAATATACATTTAACATGGGAGTTATCAACACATGACATGGGAGTAATCAACAATTGACGTGGGAAATATCAACACATGATATGGGAATAATATACATTTAACATGGGAGTAATCAACTCTTGACATGGGAGTAATTTACATTTGACGGAGTAATCAACACATGATATGGGAGTAATGAACATATGACTTGAGTTATCAACACTTGACTTGCGGTCAGTCAACACTTGACGTGGGGTCAGTTCACTTAGTCGATATGCTTTCTCTAAGTTTTATATATCTAGGGATTCCACAAACCAAAAGGTTACATTTGTTTTATTACTTTTTTATTGCTAATTAAGGAATTAACTTAATGGCTACACAAGTTAGTTTGTATTACGTGAATTGGGGCAGTTTACGTTTTATAAATTGCAAAGCATGTAACAGAAGAATAACTTGGGGAGCTTTTGAATTTATTCCTTGTAATTTGATTTTTTATCATCAAGTTTAAAAAATAAGACAATTTTCTTTCCAAAATGTGTTCAAATTGTTCAACATTTAAATGTAACCTCAAGCGGATTAATGCGTTTTTGCCGTAAATAATTGTGACGTAGGCAAACAGGTTATACGATATAAACAAATTTTTCTATCCAATCAAATTGCGCATTACAGCTAGAATGAAAATTTTGAAAAATATCTTTAAAATTCATTTTCCTAAAAAGCAGTAGTTTCTCAAACAAGCCTTAGGCATTGTTACGTCACACTCATTACGAAGTCACAATTTCAAAAAAGCATCTGCTGTATCTGTTTTTACAAACATCCAGTTTATAATGACTATATTATCAAGTTACAAAGATTGTTTCAAGTTTTAGAAACACCAGGCTCCAGGGCCATAAAAATTAGAGAGCTCACTTTTGATCCAGTCTCACTTTTACAGGAATTAAAATGGAAAAGTGAGACTGAGATCAAAGTTAGCTTATCTTAAAAGTTTTATAGCACTGGAGCCAGGTCTATAAATCTTTTTTATAAGCTTAAAATAGAAACATCCAGTTTATATTGTGCTTTATACTTAAGCGTGATCTAGTTTTATCCAATCAGATAGCTGGGATCGAAAGTGAAAATTATATTTCAGTTTATTTTTATCACGAAGTCCATAAAATGATATGGAGTCTTGTTCGGGTCATCATAACGATATACTGGAGACATTCGTAACACACTGTAACACAGATATATAATTTCTTTTTTAATTGTTCTTGGAAATCTTTCGTTGTGTCATTTCCTTCGTGTATTATTATATTAAAACTCATTATTATTGTAAATTTGATTTCTTATCAAGAAGAGCTTGAAAGATTAAGCATCTGCTGCTGGTACCATCAACGATCATTGGCGGATCAAGCTTGCTTAGCGTTGAAGATTTACAGGTATTTTCAACTCACTGGCTAAAGAATAACTTTGTGAAACTGAATTTAATTGTGGATGTAAAACGTTACATTAATCAAGACAAAGTCTACGGTTCGAATGGCAAGTCAAATCATAAAAAAGATACACTATAATGATGCCTTTCACTGTAAGAGCTTGGCAAACCCCTTCACATTGCTGGATCCGCCACTGACTGAGAACGCATCGACTTTTAATGCAAGTATTTCATGACCTTGACCTTTACACTATCGTATCCACAGACAAAGAGTAAATCATCTTGATCAATGCAAACACCGGTAGGCATCTCTGACATATACTCACTGACAAAGAAATCAAAACAACGTAAGAAATATCCATTTTCGTCAATAAGATGCAACTTCCGTGTTATCCAATCAGCAATGACAAGATTTGATTGACTGTCAGCAGCAACGCCATGTGGATCGAATCCTTTAGCAATTGACGGATTTCCAGTATAGGAGAACCGGAACAAGCCAGTGTTGTCTACAACGATCACGGAAGCAAGTACAATGTCTGCTGCACACAAGTCGCCATTTGTATTTTCTGTGACGTAATAAGGATTTGTATATAAGGGGTTCCCATTGTTTGATTCGACTTCTTTGAGCACATTTCCTTTAATATCAAATACTGCGAGCTTTCCAACTTTTATTTTGTGTAAACCTAGGAGAATATTTCCAGACCCAGTACATGCTATTCCATGTACATTCCAATCACCAGTACTAAAAAGAATCTGAGTTCCATCCTTGTCCGTAACTTTGTTAACAGCATTATTGTTCCGTTCTGTATATATGATATTATTTCCAAAAATTGCCAGTCGTCGGGGCCACAAATCTGCAAGGATGCTGTCTGTTGCCAGATTTTGTCTGAAATCGTGTTTAGAAATGTGGCGACTGAGTGTGCTACAAACATAAAAATAGCTGTCTCCTTGTCGTGTTATATCCAGCATATTGTTATAGGGGCATGTGATAACGGCAAGAATTTCCGGTTCGTCCATTACTGATTTTTGTCCTCGGAACTTGTGATAATGAATGAATCTATGAGCTTCCGGGGTCTTATTTTGTAGATGACCGCCCACACAATTTTCACAAAGTTTAATATTACAAGGTTTACATAGAAATTGAACGTTATTTGTACAGAGTTGGCACTGTACAAAATGCTGAGCCATTTGGTGTTCTTTACTCATTGTGTTGGTAAATTTGACTCCCTGAAATAATAAAACAAAATGTTCAGCACTATACACATTCTCACCTCTCAATATACACATTCTCACCCTCGCCCTTCGCCTCCCTGCTTAAGGAATCACTGTCTAGTTTGTTGGGTATTCCAGGGCATCAACGATAGTTGGAAACATGGGATAATTTGCATAAAATTATCCCACGTTTCCAGCTGTCGTTGATGTCTCTGGCATACCCAACAAACTAGACAATAATTCTTTATATTTACATTTATTATATTTTGAAATAAAAATGTAAACATAAATAAGAAAAATGCTGTCTAATAGATTAAAAATACACAATGCATTCAATGTTTCCATAGTCCCCGCCAACTGACGTCAGACAGAAAGTCAACCTGACCGCGAGAGACTGACAAGTATAGTTCACTTGGCGAAATTTACATTTACATTTAGTTGTTATTATCGAGAAATCAACACACCTAATTTTAAAAGAGTTTTTGCAGAGACAACAGTTTGAAATGTAAAAAATAATTTTATTTCGCACGATTTCCATTCGGGTTGACAGTCATTTTGGTCATTGGAAGTTCGATTCCTTCACATCGTGTTTTGTTTGTTTCTTTGTTTTTCCACCATAATCATTGTTTAATGTATTTAAGTCAATTCGGTGCCTTTTTTAATTAAGGAATACTACATTTTAAAACAGAAACACCAGCTATATGAACACCTTAAATATACTAATATTATATATACGTAATATAATATACATTTAAAAATATTACTTATATATATATTACTTAATATATAAATATATTTAGTAGATTTATGTATGCGCCGCGTTATACATGTAATTTTCACAAAAAAGTTATATGACCTTTCTACGACTCCATACATGCTTTGTCGTACTCGTACTTCCGTAAGACTATACTGTTGTATTGTTTGTATTTCAGCACGTCTTGTGAATTGACCCTGTTTTTCTTTGCCACACTCTCTGATTCAGCTAGATATTTAAGTGTGATGCGGAATATTTAGTTAATCTAATGATTGAACTTATGAGACAACAAATATCCTTGGAAATCCTTATCCCACTTTTATGAATAGATCTAGTATTAAATATTTTAATCACACAATATGAGAACTGATGGCGGTTTCAAGAAGGGGGCAAATTCTCAAATAAAATCTGACAAGCAAAAAAAAAAAAAAAAACCTAATTAACCGGTGGAGGGGGGGGGGGGAACCACCATCTAAAGGAAAATTTACCATAGCAAAATACTATACTCAGAAAAAGTGGGGACCCCCGCGTTCTACGGGCCTGTAATACGTTCATATAGTACATGTAGAGTGTATGTAATAAAATTGATATTTTTGCCTGGGGTCATTTTGACATTTTCACCGAATGTATTTATAGACCAAATTAATCCGCTCTTTTACATAATATTATCTGAGTGCATTTGTGTCGTTTGAAAAATAAGTCAGCTCTAAGATTTTCGCTCTTGTGGGTGACGAAAAAGGGGAAAAAAGAACAGAATTTTTTTTTTTACATTTGCTAAAGGTTGTTGCCTTCCTCAACATACCTCTGCACCCCCTCCGCACGCCTTAAACATTAATCAAGGTATGTAATTTTTTTTCTGGAACACAAACAGAAGATTAATTGAAAAGGACACTACAGATGATACTTTTGGACATGTCCTCTGCGTTTCGTTGACAAGCGACCTTGTCGACGTTCTTGAAGATATAACCCGGAGTAAAGGTCCAGGTCACAGCGGCCAAGCATTTGATCCAGGATTGCATGTATGGATTCATTCCACTCAAAGCTTTCAATATCATAACCCATGCAGCAATAATCAAAAGATATCCTGATTTAAAAGCACGAGTTTAGTGATAAAATCCAGTACGGATTAATAGTGTTCAGTGATAGATTGAATGTCTATGGTATTTATCGGATGCTAACCTGCCCCCTGCTTAATTAATTAGAAAGCACGTGTCGATCTTGGCATTAATCTGGCGTTTGAAAACGATCGTGTACTCACCTTAGTGTACTGGTCAGGGGGCACCTGTTTCTGGCCATGGCATGTCATTCGTAGAAGGTAAAATGTCGAATTGGTTATTCTGAATTGATCTAAATCATGTTCATTGTAGAAGCTTTATAATTAATGGGTAGCGAATGACTTGACCTATATGTTATTTATAGTAACAGCAAGTTGATAGAATTGTGTCATGTGTCACAATCAGACATTTATTTTGAGGATTTCAGGAAACGTAGAATTAATTGGAGTGATTGAAAAAATCGGTCAATTCTCCCACTCTTTTATTATCTGGCTTGTATATCGGGGCCCATATATAATAATACCTTCTTTATAAAGTTTGCTTTTGAATTTTGAATTACACAGCAGTTGAATTAATATTCAAGGGCAGATCCAGGAATTTGGGTTAAAAGGGCGTGGAATTTTTTTCAGAGGCCGGGGCAGCCTTTTGGCCCCAGTATTTCCAGTGTAAAACCTTTTGGAGGGGACCAGGGAGTGAAGGTTTTAAACAATAACCGATTTATTTACCGACTCCACAAAAATAATAGGGATTTTTATGAGGCGCCGTTTTGGTATTTACTGCCAAAAAGTGATATCACCTATTCGAATAGGTGATATCACCTATTCAGAAGCTGAATAGGTGATATCACTTATTCGAATAGGTGATATCACCAATTGAATAGGTGATATCACCTATTCGAATAGGTGATATCACTTTTTGGCAGTAAATACCAAAACGACGCCTCATAGATTTTAATAATCCGCCTTAATTTGATCTCGTGACACTATATTTAGAAAATCAACAATAATGGCGAACAATGAGAACGAGGGGTAGACCAGCTAACAAGCAGATTTAGAGAGAAAAGCGAGGAAGAGATAGGCAGATATGGAGAGAAGTTAAAAGAGAAAATTATGTTATATTAACAATATTATGTACATTTAAACTTCTTCTTCCATTATGACTTTAATGCTGTATTTTCCCGCAGTGGCGGATCTTATTAATATTCAACACAATTACAGCAAACTTAAAGTCAATTTAACTATAAAAACGTGAGGTTATCCGAGTTCAAAATTGGTGAAAACTTTAATGTTAAAGTACATAACATATAACATGTATATATACACTCAATTTCGAATTATTATTTTTTTTAGTTCAGATAGTATACGCCATCCGCTTTAACCTTAAAATTTACCTTTAATATCTGTTTTTACACTCACTCCTACAAACATATTTTGGTCAATGATCAAATTATGCCAACTTTCTTATCAGAATATTTCCTTCTCGTCAAATTTACGTACTTAGTACTTGCTCGTCATTTATCTGGGATTTGAGCCCATCTATACTGAAATTTCTTTGATTTACAAATGTAAGGTACCCCCTTTTTTATCGTGTGTGATGACGCCTCTTACCTCAATGTATAACTTGTCGTTTTTATAGCAGGTTTGCAAATAACTAGGATTTCTGAGATAGAATGACTTTCCTATGCAAATGACGGAGACAATAAAAAAAAAAAGTATATACATGTAGGCACGAAAATTATTTTGATTGTCTTCAAATTTCTTTTAACAATGTAAAAACTATCGTGCAAAAAAGTTAAAATTTTTATAAGCATCATTTAATTCGGACTTTTTCATAATTATTTTGATCTCAATTATGATATCTTATTAATGTTAAAAAATAAATAAAAATTCAAACTTAATCAAATTAACTTTAATTAAAATCTCTCTCTCTCTCTCTCATGAAAATAATACACGTTCCTCCTTTTTCTTTGGCAGTCATTTTTCCAAGCGTGCTTTTCATGAAACATTTTAGCGTTCACCTTTAGCATATAGTGTCTTTCTGACATATTTTCTATTTATCAATAAAAATCTGCATATATTATGACTACTAGTCACAATGCACATTTTTATTGATAAATAGAAAAATATGTCAGAAAGATAATAGTTTCAAACCTCGCTTTTATTTACACAGGGCACCGGGTCAAATATTGACCTGTGCAGCCATTCGCTGTAGGGAAAAAACATAGACACTAAATAAACTACAGTTATGACGAACAGGATGCTTTTCAATAGGAAAGGAAGAATCTTTAAGTAATTGCAGTTATGTAGAAAAATATTGTTGATTGTAATCAATTATTGCATTGAATACAAGGAAATCAGGCTTTGATGCGAGTTGGCCATCCCCGTTCGATTTCCGATCGCCTCGTATTGAGTGTGTAATCTCCACGATTGGCTGTCTTGATGTTATGAGCGTTTCTTCGTTTCTTCTATTCATCCAGTCTAAGAAAAGTTAATTAATTTGGTTAAGCGGAAATATTTTAAGACCGGGCTTGAGTTGGTTCCTGACATGTTTTCAAATTTCGTTAACGTTAGGCAGAGCGTGTTTAATGATTTGCAAATTTATAAGAATGTTCTCTTTCTATCGTTCCCGTGAAGAGAAAAACTTTTACTTTTATTTTTCACCAAGAAGACTCATTCTGGAATTATATAATTATTATATAGACCTATAAATATGCATAGAAATTAGAAATGACATAAGTAAATGAACTACTATATATATAAGATAACAAAAGAATAAAAAAAAAAAAAAAGCATTCACAAAATTCCAAAAAATTTTCAAAAAGAAAAATATTTAAACGGCGAAAATCAAAGACATATAAACATTTTAACTTGGAGTATAGTTTTGTGATACAATGAATTTTATTCTTTGGCCTGTACGTATAGTCGGCAGAAATAGCCAGAATGGTAGAACATCTTATGTATTGCGCATGCCTAACCAATAAAGAACACCCACATTTCCAGATCTGATGAGTCGGACATGAGTTTCCTCAGAATTATTTGGAGGGTTATGTAAAAGAAGAGAAGACTTTAAAACTCTGTAACGACGCTTTCTACCTCCTTTTCAGGAAAGTTCGCCTAGGAATGAATGTCCGTAGTATGTAAGTAAAAATTTGTATCAGAGTATAAGTAAATTGATATAATATTATGTGTTTATGTATATTTATTGTAATTTAAAGTAGATAGAATGAAGTCACTTGCTTTTTAACAAAAAAAAACAAAAAAAAAAAAAAAAAGAATAATGGCTGGTTCCTTATTCTCTGTGCTAAATACGAAATATAACAATTCAAAACTTAAACAGAAACATACATGTATTTACGATTTGAAATGGGCCAAGAATTTGCTCGTCAACATGTAAATATTCGTGATCTATGCTTGATTGTCACCATTGTTGCAAGAGTTATTGAGAAATAAGTCTTCCTAAGTTAAGACGATGGAGAGAGAGATGGAAGAGGGAGAGAGAGAGAAAAGAAACGTTGTAAAGTTCTAAAATAAAAGAAACAATGTAAAGTACCAAAATAAAAAAGAATAATATTTTCAAACTTTTTTGAAAAAATTCAATTGAAAAAAATTGAAACATAACAATTTAAATGATTCAAATAAAGCAAACATTAAACAAAAAATCACACCATTTGAAGAGACTGGTGATAACGCATTATTTACTTTTACTTAAATTTCATTTCATCGCAATAGATATTAGGGATGTCAATTTCACTCAGGTAGCGTAGTCAAATAAGGTGTTGGGGTGGGGGTTGGGCACATATACTCGAGGGGACCCATACTCGAGTACTATTGAAATAATATTTATGTCATTATTATGCCCGAACGAAGTCGGGCGACATATTGCTATTGTACGCCTAAAATTTTGTCCAGGGATTTTCTCGCAGATGGCTTGAACAATCTTCCTGAAACTTTCCACAAAAGACGACCACTAGTTGTACTTGTGCACTCGGCACACCTCGGCCGATTCGTACCTCATCTAACCTCGGCTGTATCATGCAAACCTCCATTGAACCTTATTTTACTACTTTACAGGCAATATGGCTGCGCCCTATATTTACACACGTCGTGCATAGTGTGCTGAAGTCGATCCGTTAACAAACATGTGATTATATGTAAAGATACTAAGTGCATATTTCTTGGTAAGTGTTATTTTTAGAGTTACCTTACTGCTTTTGAAGATTTCAATCGTATGTCAGATGCTTGTTTATTATCGTTTCCAAAGCGTTACGTTTTCCCTAAGCGGTAAACAGGCAGCCGTAGCACAAATGTTAGGCGGAGACGCATATCAAGTTTCCTCGTACAGCCGAGGTTTGATGAAGGTGACGGAATCAGCCGAGGTTTGCCGAATGGTACTTGTGCAGTTTCAGTTTCAAATGGCTACCATTGCCATGGAAACGTTCGAAAGTGAGGAATTTTGTCCGGGAGTGTTCTCACTGGTCTCTTGAATATTCATCATGAAACTTTACAGAAATAATAAGAATCAGTAATTGAAGTTGTACGATTGACATGATTCCTTGCATTGTGTCAAAGTGAAATTTCTTTTTTAAAAAACCTGGAATTGGCTGCACACAGTTACCATAGAAACAAAACAGAAAAAAGGTGTTATGCTCACATCTGTTCTCAAAGGTGGCTTGGACAATCTTGATGAAACTTGATAGAAATTGTAATTAGAAACTATAAGTGTGCAGTCAACATTCAAATTTTTCAAAATCCCTACCGTTGCCATGGAAACGGACGAAAAGTGAAAATTCTTTAATTTCTATTTTTCTTAGTAACTACGCAAGCAATCTTTTGGAAACTTTAAAGGTTTTTATTCTTTCCACGATATCAGAGTTGTTTCCTCAAAAAAATGGATTCGATTGCAGTAGGTCCATCGCTTCAGCCACCGGAACGAAGTCGTATTTTGGTTCACCTTAGTTTTGTACTCGAGTGTTCTTGTAGATAGCTTTCAAAATCTTCATGAAATTAACTTTACAGAAATAAAAATCACCAAGCCTAGTTGTGCATCCAATATTTTCTTTTTTCAATGTTTGTCGCTGAAGCCAGGCAAGGAACAAATGATTTACGAAAAGTTGCGGTCACGTGACAATTGTATGCTATCAGAAGTTCTGTTAAAAATTGTTTTTCCACTTTTTCCTCCGATATTTTTGTCATTGAATATATTTTTGTGAGATTTAGAAAGCTATAAGTCTATCTACAGATTTAATACACATATTTGAAGGTTCTTAGTAAGAATGTCTAAAAACGTTGTACATAACGTTTATTTCTGATTTTCTTTAAAACTGTAAATTATCAACGTTATGTTTATTACATATGTCGAAGATCAAGTTAAAAAATATCTTATATTGTTAAAATTGTATGTACAATATAAAATATAATGATATCTACAATTATATAATGAATAATAAAGATGAAATTAACATCCAACATTTACAATTTATAATATAATAATATTTCAGTGATTTATAAATTAGTTAAACACACTCGCTAATAGCAAAAATTTTCCTAGATTACGTAATTCTTCCACATTCTGTGTACTAAGTAATTGTACCAATTTGAAGACACTTGGGCTTCGGGAGTAGTAACTTTTTATGTATTTTTGTCTTATGTATTATACATGTAACGTGGACATTTTAACACAAAATGGAATTCATCCCCTATGTCCCCTGATTCGCAAAGATTACATGTTCTATTCTTTCTCACAATTTCATTTTATCTTCCTTGCAGAAATCATTAAATTATGAGCAGATAGCCATAATCTGGTAATTGGTACTCTATATTTTAAATGTATTGGTTTACATATAAGTAAGACTGAAGGGTAAAATTATCAACAAGGTGTTGATAAATGAGGCATTTGGGTGATTTACCTAAATCTGACATAGTGTTTTGGATGTACCTTATTCAAACTGTAAAAAATGCAAACTGTGCAGAAAACAGATGTTCATGTGGTGGTTGTCTTTATACAGCCGAAGTGCACTTACAGAAAATATTTACCACTACAGCGTCTTTATAACATGAACAAAGCACCGATATTTCTTTTCTTGTTTAAAAAAAATGGGTATATATGATTATAGGTGCTTATTAAATTGTGTCGGAACTCTAATTCCCGTGGGTTAACGCGCGGTTAACCAGCCCTTGAGTAATTTATGCTGAAAGAGTTCATCGCAAAATACACAGGGTTTGCTACCAAGGCAGTAGTGCATCATATATATATATATATATATATATATATATATATATATATATATATATATATATATATATATATATATATATATATATATATATATCGCGAGATTTCCGGGGCATGAAGTACTTATGCTAGTGACAATCGAATGATTCGAACAATTAGTATGCCAAAAGTACAATGTATTGCAAAGGGTTGAACTTCAATTAGTATTTTTGTCTTACATGTATTTGAAAGGTTTAGATTTTTTATCAGCTTCCAAAAGTAACGATAATCAGAAAGAAATGGTAGAATTTAATTAGAACAGTCGGCTTACTGAAAAAGTATCAATAAAAATGTAACATTTGAGGACTGGGTTCTCTTAAAATTTATAAACGTGGTTCAGCGAATGTTCCGCAAGATATTTCACCAGGACTTCTTTCATATTTATTTGCCCCTTAAAAATCCACAAGCTCGATCTCGCGTAGTCCGAAGTATCTGACGTTTTCCAGGCTTTTTTCACGATTTTGATATTTTACGTGCCAGGAAAACGTCAGAACCGGCGCCATTACGAGAACTGTAAATTTCACCGTCTCAAACCGGAGCTGATTTTCGATACTTGTGAACTGAATTAAATGCCGAACTTACAATTTATTAGTAGCACAATGCTTCAAGTACTCACCAATATCGATGAAAAGAAAGTATCACTCCACATTTCGATACAGGTTTTGCAAGATTTTAAAATGAAAAGAAAACTCGACCGTCTGATGAAATGTTTTCACCAGACTGTATATTTCATAAACAAACCCATAAAAACAATGTTGGTGAGTACTAAAGGCATTGTACTATTAATAAGTTGTAAATTCAGCAATTAATTTGGTTCGCAAGTATCGAAAATCAACCAAAGAATGCCGCCTCCAGTTGGAGGCGGCGAATTTCCAGTTTTCGTAATGCCGCCGGTTCTGACGTTTTCCTGGCACGTAAAATATCAAAATCGTAAACAAAAAGCCTATACGTCAGATATTTCGGACTAGATCTCGCGTTGTATGCAATATCACATTGCCCCCAGCTAACAGACGTTTCCTACCCTCACCGCGAAAGAGTTCCATAAAGATAAGTAATCGCGATATCAAGTATTGGAATGAATTGGGGTCTTGGTCTTAAATAAAAAATTGAAACTTGGGAAATTCAATTTCCCTCGATATTTATACCTTTAAAGAAATTTGGCAATTCCAATGCATTTTGTAAACATTTTTGCTAGAATGTTGTATGTAAAGCAGTTGTTTTTTTTTTCTTTCAGGATAAAGACGGTGACGAGATTCGCCGCTGTGTTTCTGTTGTTTGTAGGCGTGGCTTACACCGCTCCCCTGGAAACGGACCTCGAATTAATGGCCCTTGTCCCCCCTTCTCGTCCAAATTCCTTTCAAAATTTTCAAGAAATGCAGCGCTATCTGATGGAATTAAATAATTTTTATCACATGATGTCACGTCCGAGGTAAGTTACATCTATCCTAATTGGGCAATGTATTTCTCGAGCACTGTGAATTTCACTAATTTTCGCTGAGGTTTAATATTTGTTGTATCTTATGGTATGGGGAGTCTCTAGAATTATTTTCTCGCGAAAAGTATCATTTCAAATATATAATAATTCAACACTTCTTTAATCACAAAAATTAAATCCCCACGAACCAGTATTTTTTCCTCAAACCACGAAAATTGGACCCCCACGAAAATAATTGACCACCGTATCAAATATTCGTACTATTTACCGATACCCCAAACAATATATGAGTAAAAATGATATTCTGTCACCTGATATTTGAACTGTATCAGGTTTAAACAGGACATACATCTTATCTAATGATATCCGGACCTTTATCAGCTTAAACAGGACATACATCCTATCTAATGATATCCGGACCTTTATCAGCTTAAACATGACATACATCCTATCTAATGATATCCGGACCTTTATCAGCTTTAACATGACATACACTTTTACTGATATCTAGACATATAAATCTTTTACATGACATGAATCTGTTATTATCTGGACCTATATCGCAGTTTAAACATGAAATACATCCTATCTACTGATATCTGGAATATTTCGCTATAGAAATGATATACATCTTATCTACTGACTACAGGACCTACACGTATGTCACTATAAACATGACATACATGTACATTTTGTAATCTGATATCTGGACCTATTTCAGTATAAACATGACATACATCCTGTCAACTGATATCTGGACCTATGTCACTATAAACATTACATACAATCTGTCAACTGTATCTGGATCTATTTCAGTATAAACATTAAATACATTCTGTCAACTGATATCGTAATCTATGTCAGTATTAACAAGACATATTAAATTCTAAATACATTCTGTCAACTGATATCGTAATCTATGTCAGTATTAAAAAGACATATTAAATTCTGTCAACTGATATCTGGACCTTTGTTAGTATAAACAAGACATAAATTCTGTCAACCGATATCTGGACCTTTGCTAGTATAAATATGAAATACTTTCTGTCAACTGATATCTGCACCTTTGTTAGTATAAATATTAAATACTTTCTGTCGCTGATATCTGGACCTTTGTTAGTATAAATATGAAATACTTTCTGTCAACTGATATCTGGACCTTTGTTAGTATAAATATGAAATACTTTCTGTCAACTGATATCTGGACCTTTGTTAGTATAAATATTAAATACTTTCTGTCAACTGATATCTGGACCTTTGTTTGTATAAATATTAAATACTTTCTGTCAACTGATATCTGGACTTTTGTTTGTATAAATATTAAATACTTTCTGTCAACTGATATCCTAACCTATGTCACTACAGTATAAACATGGCATACATAAACATTACATATAAAGAAGTGCAAGTAGAATATGGCATTTTTGTAACGATAACAGTGATCAAAGATGAATAATAATCAAAAATATGAATTTTTGCTTGAATGTCCTGTCTTTGATTCTTTAAGAAGAAAATATGTCAAACCATATCATTTTAGGTCTTCAAATACGTACAAGCGTACTCAGCTGCTCAGCTCTCCTAAAGTCGGTGTTTAGTTTGGTCAGGGAAATTCATTCATTATGCAATTAGACAAAGAAATAATGAATAACTGTTTAAGATTCCAGCGCTTTTCTATTCCATTTTTAGTAAAATGTTTTACATTTTGTATTACTATATAAAGAATAAAGTAAAAGTACTTGAGTAATGACTCTGAAAATTTTATCTAACGTTAAATTATGTAGAATAATCATTTTGTCATGTAATTAATGGAGAATTTAAATACAATGTATATTAATGTCTACTGTAAATGTTGATGTCGGGGGGTCGGACAGATGGACACTAGGGGTTCAACCCCCGCAGATTCTCGCCATGTATTCACAATTATTACATTTCCAACACTGAAATTACTTACTTACTGCCCGTATAGGGCAGTAACGAGGGTTCTCCATCTTTGTTTATCACTGGCTAGCTTTTGGAGTGTGCCCCAGCTTCTCTTTTGTTCTTTAAGTTCAGCTTCCATTGTCCGCCGCCAAGTGACTTTGGGCCTTCCTCTCTTCCGTTTTCCCTCCGGTGTCCAGAAGAGAGTTGTCTTTATGATGCTGCTCGAGTCCCTTCTAAGTACATGGCCAAGCCAGTTCTAGCGTCTTCTGATGATGATTGTGGCCATATCCTCTTGCTGGCACCTGTTGAGAAGGTCCTGATTTGAGATGGTATTAGGCCAAAATATTCTTAAGATCCTTCTCAGTGACTTTGTATGGAATGTCGACAGCTTGTTTAGGTCGCTCTCTGTCATTCTCCAACACTCTGATCCATACAAAAGGATAGGTAGAATGCAGCTTTTGTGTAGTTTCAGCTTTGTTCTTGTTGTGTACTGACTTGATCTTCAAACAGTATGTAGGTTGTTAAATGCTGCTCTTGCCTTGGATAGTCTCTCTTTGATGTCAGTCTCTGCTCCACCATCTTTTGTTACTTTGCTACCCAAGTATGTAAAGGTGTTGGTGCATGGAAGGATGTGATTTTCCACTTTGACCGCTTGTGGGTTGTTTACAGTTAGGGTCATGACCTCAGTTTTTTTGGTGTTTATCTTCAGTCCAATGCTTCCTGCATATTTGTGTAGCCTGCCGGTTTTGTCTTGAATGTGCTGGTGGGAGTGCGAGAATAAGGCTATATCATCAGCAAAGTCCTGGTCTTCTAGAGTTGTAAATGTACCCCATCTGATGCCTCTCGGAATGTCAGATGTTGTATTCTTCATGACCCAGTCAATGGCTATGATGAAGAGTGTTGATGACATTACACAGCTGTCTCTATGAATGCTGTTGAAGGCTTTTCCGAAATCAATAAAATTGATATATAACTGTCGTTGCCATTCTGTACACTGTTCAATGATGTTTCTTAGTGTAAATATTTGATCAATACATCCTCTCCCTGGTCTAAATCCTGCTTGTTCTTTACGCAGTTTGACATCTACAGCTATGGATTTCCTTCTGATGATGATTTTAGCCATGATCTTGCTTGGAATGGAAAGAAGCGTTATTCCTCGCCAATTGTTGCAGTCATTTAGGTTGCCTTTCTTTGGTATTTTAATGATGACTCCATGGTTCCACTCATCTGGTATGGTGTTACTTTCCCAGATGTCATGGAAAATTGGCTGTAAAATTGTGGCTGTAAGAAGTGGATTTGTTTCGAACAATTCTGCATTTAAGTTGTCATATCCAGGGGCTTTTCCATTTTTTAGAGTTTGTATTGCAGAGACAATTTCTGGAATTTGTGGTGGTTCAGTGCTTATTTTTAAGTCAGTTGCTGGATTACTGATGTCAGGTTCATGAGTTGGAGATGGTCTGTTTAAGATTTCCTTTAAATGCTCTGTCCATCGTTCCTCCATCTCTTTTTCTGATGACAGCAACTTTCCTGTTTTGTCCTTGACAGGTAGATTTGGAGATGGTCTATTCCTGCCATTCAGTACCGTTGTTATTTTGTAAAGGTTTCCTTGCTCTCCTCTGTTGGCTGCCTCTTCTGCTTTTGTTGCTAGGTCATCTATGTGTGCTCTCTTATCTGCACGTAGAGCCTTTTTCACTTCCTTCTCTATTTCACTGTATTCCCTTTGATGTCTCTCTTTAAGTCTTAGAGATTTGGCCTCATTTACTTTCTTTTTGGCATCTCTTCTTAAGCCAATCATTGTCCATGTTCTAGGCATTATCCAGTCTTTATTCCTATGTCTTTGCCTATAACCAATACATTTCTCACTAGTTTCAGATGTTGCTGATTTTTTCCCACTTTTTGTCAATTGATGTTTCATGTATGTTGTCCTCTGGTTCCAAATTTTGTAATATATCGAACTTATTCTTGAGCATGATGTTGAATTCATGTCGTACCTTGATGTCTTTAAGTTTCCAACACTGAAATACTGTGATTTATTTATCGAATAAAAGTGATATTCTCTCACAGTGTAAAAGAATACCAAAGTGATATTCTGACACAGTGTGAAAGGATATCAAAGTAAGTAAAAGATAATTTCTGGCCTGTAATAAGAAAGAGATAGTAAATTAAGCATCTTGATAGAGACTAAACCTGCCAATTTCTTCCCAAGTATGTCGCTAAAATCCATGTTACAATGTTTTCAATCTCACAACTGCTAAGCTCTGACGTCTCAACTGCTCAACTATGATGTCGCAGCCTATGACACAGTGTTAAGAAAAGACAGAGGCAAAGAGAAAATCAAAGAAAATTTAATAAACAGAATATTCAATGTTGTGTAATTGGATATGGAAATTATTTCACTTGTGAGACAGTTTTTTTTATATATATTTTCACTCGTGCGTCGCACTCGTGAAAATATAAAAAAAATTCCTGTCAAACTGAAATAAATTCAATCCAAACTACAAAACATTGAATATCCTCTATTTACATAATGTTTAATTTGCTTATATTGATGGGACATTTGACATTTGACAAATGCAGAAGTCGTTATCGGACTAAAATAACCATCTTCTTTATAATATATAAATAGTGCACGTTTTTGAGGGTAACAGTTGAAATTGACACCCCAAGGAAAACCATTGTAAACCGACGCGTCAGCGGAAGTTGACAATGGTTTTCCGAGGGGTGTCAATTTCAACTGTTACCCTCAAAAACGTGCACTACTTATTTTATTATACTGAATGTCCTATAGATAGTTTTCAGTAGGCCCAAATTAGCAAGAGTTATTTCCCGTTGGCCGCCATATTGGAGGTCAACATGCTCATATTCCTTCATTATTCAACCAACTTTGACTTTGTATACTGGCCATTGTGGGGTAAGAAGCATTGTTTTTCTGAAAAATATACATTTGTTAAAGCCTCCTTTATTTCATAATTTTTCTTCTATAAAGATTTTTCCCCAAATATTTCTGCTACACCCTCTTAGATTTGGTAAGACAAAGAGGAAAAATTACCAGGTTGACCACCAAGATGGCGGCC